AAGGAAGGAAGGAAGGAAGGAAGGAAGGAAGGAAGGAAGGAAGGAAGGAAGGAAGGAAGGAAGGAAGGAAGGAAGGAAGGAAGAAAGAAAGAAAGAAAGAAAGAAAGAAAGAAAGAAAGAAAGAAAGAAAGAAAGAAAGAAAGAAAATTCCCTGGCAGGACTCCGGGCTGAACGGGACCTGTTGTGATGTGGATGTAAGATCCCCTGCCTGGCAAATCCGTGAACCTCCAGTGGGTCGGACGCCTTTACTTCAGGGGCAGCTAAAGCCCATCTCGCCGACTCCATGCGACCTCTACCGTTCAGAGAGTGGACCTTGGGCCTCGACGTCGTGATGGCTTTCCATCTTTCTGGAAAACCCAAAGCGAACGCAGGACACAGCAGCTAGGCTAGGTGCCATCCTCAACCCATTTTTATGGGCATAACCGAACGCTCGGGATTTGGGAGCAGAAGTGTTTTCTTCTGTTGTTCCGTTTTCCCGTCGCGGAACAGAAAGATGGCACCGTTTTAAAACGTGAGAGAAAGAACACAGCCCCCAGCCTTGGCTTTCACCTTGTCTGTTCCATATTCTGGATCCGGGGGCGCTGGGCCATTTCTTGTAAAGAAATGATCCTTGCAGTGCAGGATTCCAGAAACTCTGCACGCTATAATACTGCTGGGCCCGGAGAAACTTGGGGTTTGACAGACGGAGCTAGGAGGGGTACGGGAGACCAACGGGGGTCCGCGTGGGCATCACCCTGCTGCAAGTACGTTAGCTTTGTACGCTCTCCGGCGCGTCGCTTCGGCCACCGGACGGAGACGGGGCCACACGTGAGGATCACGAAGCCCGAGATGCGCAGGGTCTACCTCCCGCCGCCCAGGCCCAGGCCGCCTCTGCAGAGCCGCGCACGCGCGCCGACGGCTGCCCCCACCGCCCGCGCCGGGCGACGCCACACTCGGGCGCCTGCGCCAGGAACAGCACCTCCGGCGTAAGCGGAGGGGGCGAGGCTTGGGGAGGTTTAGCCAATCCAGACGGCTGGGTTTAGCATATCCCGGCCCGCCCAGCTGCAGTGCATTCTGGTTACTATGACAACGACATCAAGCTTGCAAAACGTGACTTACAGTTTTTCCTCAGTTTACAGCGAAGGAAGCATGAAATTCACGTTTTAAATCTAGGAAATATTTAGGCTTTATTGCAGTGTAGCGGTACGGGCAGGTCGCCAAGTCACCATAAGTGAAAAGCTTCAGCTTTTGGAAGCGTTTAAATAGTCATCCGCAGCACCGGCTCCCTCGGATGTGAGGGCGATCTGGCTGCGACATCTGTCACCCCATTGATCGCCAGGGTTGATTCGGCTGATCTGGCTGGCTAGGCGGGTGTCCCCTTCCTCCCTCACCGCTCCATGTGCGTCCCTCCCGAAGCTGCGCGCTCGGTCGAAGAGGACGACCTTCCCCGAATAGAGGAGGACCGGTCTTCGGTCAAGGGTATACGAGTAGCTGCGCTCCCCTGCTAGAACCTCCAAACAAGCTCAAGGTCCATTTGTAGGAGAACGTAGGGTAGTCAAGCTTCCAAGACTCCAGACACATCCAAATGAGGCGCTGCACGTGGCAGTCTGCCTTTCTTTTGTGCAATTTCTAATTTTTAAATTTTATTCCAGCTTTATCGTTCTGAGAACGAGGCTTTCCTGTGTAGTTTACCATATTCCTGGCTGTTCTGCCTCGTGCGCCAAGACTGCCTGGCACGTCGGAGTTTTTTTCTTAATACATATTTACACTGGATCATTTTTCTTGCATTTTTTTAAATTATTATTTACATTTATGTATATGAACATCTCGCCAACCGTATGTACGCTGATGCCTGAGGAATTTAGAAGAAGATGCTGGAGTTCCTGTTGGTTGTGAGCCGCCATATGGTTACTGAGAACTGGATCCCGGGTCTTCTGCAAGAGCAGCAAGTGCTCTAAACCACTCAGCCTTCTTTCCAGTCCTTCATACCCGGCTCTTCGCCAAGAAAGAAACTGGTTACTTTTCTCTGGAGTCTCTTCACCCTAACCTGGACCCCCCTGCACGTCTTCTGTAAAGCGGTAACCCTAACTTCCATCAGGACTTGGGGTGATGACTGATCTTGCTTTTTTTGAATGATTGGAAATATTGGGTGTAGCAGTTGGGGTCCCCTCCAGTGGGCCTATCTACCTCAAATGTGCATCAGTGGTTTTGTTTGTGTAACTCTCAAGTGTAGGGAAGAATGGGTGTCTGGAAAAAGAGATTAAGGGAGAAGTAAAAAAAAAAAAAAAAAAAAAAAAAGAGTATGCTGTCGGCATTGCGAATTCTAGGGAAGGAATCAGGAGAAGCCAGAAAAGAGGGTGCTTTTTAAATGTCCAAGTCAAAATCCTGATTTTTTTTTTTTTTTAAAGAAAATCTTAACCATTCAATTTTTACCAATAAAGACTCAGAAGCCAGATGCTGGGGCCAACACTTGCTAGCTCAGAGAGGAAGAAAAAAGTACCCAGTTGACCTTCTTACTCAGCTCAAGTCCTGATGGAAAAAGCCAAAAGCCTGCTAGTTCACCCAACAGCCCAGGAGGGGAAAGCCAGGGCCAAAGAGCTAAAGAGCCCAAGAGGTAGAGAGTTAAAGCTAAAGGCCAAGGGGCTGGAAGATCTAAAGAGCCCAAAAAAGCTCCTACTTCTCTCCACGCTGTCTTAAATACTCTTCTGTCAAAGTCCCTCCTTTCTGTTCATCCCTGTCAGCTGGTTACTTGCTCTCTGCCTCTTGACTTAGGGTTAACATTATTAAATCTCGTGTACAGAAAGCTCTTAGATTAAAGGTGTGTGTTAGGGCTGAACCACACTGAACAAAAGACAGGATACAGTTCACAATCTCAGGGACCACAGTGAGATAAAATATCCTGCAACAAAAATCCGCTGAGACTCGGGATGTTTTCAGGCCCTGGGTTAGCTCTTGGAGTGACAGTGAGGGCCCTATCAGATGGCTCCTGGAGAGGGAAAGAGAGAGGAAGTTAACCATTATTAAGTTTTTAGGCTAAAATAATAGTGGACCTGTCTCTCTTGGCTGCAGGTAGGTGGTGCTGCAGGGTTGAACTGAGATCAAGTCATAATGTCCTAAATCTGGGTAGCATTATTCCTTAGCAAGAAAAGAAAATCCTTAGTGAGAAATAATTGTGTAAATAACATCTCATATAGATTTAAGCCTGGGCCTGGGGAGTGCCATTCCTTGGACTGTTAAAGAAACATATCAACACTTTTAGTCTTTGTTTATACTTTTGTTATGTGGTTATTTCCTCTGAAATAGAACCTTATATCTTCCAACTCCTTAAGACAGAATGTTAAAGGGGAAGGTGAAATAAATTCTGTTCTATAAAGAATCCCATTAAGTTCAGGAAGTAAACAACTCAAAGGTTTCAGGAAGTCCCCGAAACCAACCAGACATACTAAGCCCCTCCCTTACCAAACATATATAAGCAGTAAGGCCTGCTGAGAGAGACTCTCAGACAGGCTGGGCTGCTTAAAAGACAGTCTCTGACTTGTTGAGCTGCCTGCAGGCTGTTCAGTACGCTTCAGGTTTCCAGCTTTGTGGCTGTTACCCGTGCTGGCACAGGCTGTGTTGACACAGTTGTCTTTGAGCCACTTCTGCGTCCATCTATAATCTTTCACTCCAACTCCCATAAATAACCCCCAGAAAACTCAGTGGTTGACTAAGCATATTTGGCTGCTATCCCTACTTTGGTCTGTTTCCTATTTGGGGTGAGTAGACATTTGTTTATATCTGCCCAAGAATATTGTCACACCACTTTCCTATTGGTTTATTGGTTTAAAACTTCCTTTTTTTTTTTAACTGTCAAGGCCAGGCGAATCTTGTACTCAGGGGCAAGTTGCTCCTGGGTAGAGCCTATGACCCCTTAAACCTTAATTTTTCCAGTTGTTCATCTTGCTTTGCTTGGAAACACTGGGAAAAATATCCTCTGTGTTGATCCTCCTCTTCCTAGACTGGATACTGCTTAGAGGTAAGGTCCCTCCATGACCTCTGTGAACAAGAGAACAGGACATTTTGAGAGATGCTCCACATTCTCTTGGAACCTTGTTGAAACTGTAGGATAAGGGGAAAACACTGTTCCTTTAAACTTTTCTGTCCACGTTAGTGTAGGCCTTAAGCATGGTTACTGAATGAAAACCCGGTAGGTCAGTTACACACTAGTCTGACCTTCCTTAGTCTCTTCCAGTTTATATAATGCTAGTTCAGAGGTTCTCAACCTGTGGGTCATGACCCCTTGGGGTCACATAATAGATATCCTGCATGTACAGTGTGATATGTACAGTATGATTCATAACAGTGGAATAATCACAGTTATGAAGAAGCAATGAGTGAAAGAATTTTATCATTGGGGGGGTCACCAGGACATGAGGAACTGTATTAAATGGTTGCATCATTAGGAAGGTTGAGAACCACTGCTCTGGCTTCTTCCCAAGACCACCAGACCACCCACAGAAGTGCATACGACTAGCAGGGAGGAGTGGATGAATCCTCAGACGAGGACCAGGGCCCTGGCCACTCCCGGCAGTCAACAGCGCTGCTACAATGAGCTAGCTTTTGCAAGCAAGCACAGCCGAAGTGGAGAAGATGGCAGCTGTTGGGCTTGGAAGACAGCGCTGTGCAATGCCGCCTTGCTAAAAGAACGTCGGTGCAAGTTACATAGATAGTGTATTAATATTGCTCCTATGCATGCTATGCTTAGAGTTCCGTGGGCAGTCTGACCCAGCGTTGTCTACCTACCACATGCAGTTTCAAAGGCTGTGACCCTTCATGTGTCCAGGTTAAAATGCACTCGCAAAACCCAAGTGCTTTGAATCTCCGGATGAGGGGATGAGGGGAACGAGGGACTGAATCCAGTAGGAAACCTACCCCGATAGCTTTTCTTAACAGGCAGTATGGCTGACATCCTAAAAGTGTAGATAGGCCCTTGAAATGTGATGTCCGTAGGCCTGAGGTGTGTTGCTGACAACCGGGAGGTGGACTATGTGCTGCTGCACAAAGGGATCCACCCACAGAACTCTGACTGGCAGGTCTGATTCCTACCAAATCTCCCCAGTCAGTTAAAGAATGCTCAGAGCACGACTTTCCTGGAATGCGCTGCCAGCAGACTGTGAACTGTGACTCTCTCTGAAGCCAAATGTGGTTTGAAAACAAAGACTAGTTAAATACATTGAAAACAGCAACAAGAAATAGATATATGCTCAAGTTCCTCTTCTTCATTCTGAAAAAAAATAACTTACTTGCTCTGCTGTGTTAAGTGTATGCTTCCAGTTCTACAGCGGTGAATGTAGCCAGTGATATCACCAAGGAGGCATTATAGCTGCTCAAGCACCAAAGGAATTAATTAATAAAAGACGACTAGCCAGAGAGCCAGGGACAGTGTTCCTTAACTGCAATCCCAGCACCCATGGTGCTAGAGACAGGACGATCAGCTCAGGACTAGCCAGTTTGGGCTACACGGTGAGACACTAGGAACAAAACCATTTTCTCTCAGCCCTGACGGTACCAGCTAGTGAAAGGTACAAAAAAAAAAGAATCAAAGTTCTCAAACCAATTTTTCTTAAATGGTAACTTTATTTGGAGCAGAAGTTTCCATCCATAATGTTAACACCGTCAAACATCTCAGGATAAATCATTCAAAAAGTAACGTATTTCAGAAGGGTCTCTCTTTACTTCCCGTCCTTGGCCTTCTAGATATGGGAAGATATGAAGATGGCTTTGTAATAAAATCAGCGGAATTGAACTGCATTCTGTACTGAGAGATGGGAGTTCAGAAGACCATCCAGGGCATGTTCAAGTCACATTATCAGTGTTTAAAGAGACTAACCAATATGCTACATGCCCCTATTTTGTCTTGATAATTTACATAAACAGGTCATCACAATAAATTATAGAAACATAGAATACATTAAGCTGGAAACTGTAAAAATAATTCTAAAAAATTCCTACCCAATTTATTAAACAAACATATCGTTACAGTATGCTCAGGACAATATAAAACAGTGAGCAGGTCAAATGTTCTCTCACATTGCTTCTGGTCGGGACAGTGGGTTGAAAGCCTGTGTCACCCATCCTCCCCCCTCCCCCCATTGGCACAAGGCAATGGCTTGATGTTAGGAAACGTGACTTCCTATGAAAATAGGGTGCCCATCAACTCCAACAGTACTTAAACTTGGAACTGAAAGTGAAAGAGTTTTTGTTTGCCTTCAGGTAGTCAGGCCTTGCTAGCTCCGGAAGGCGACAGTGTCACTGATTTAGATGTATGTGGTCCTTAGGCAAGCCCTGCATCTGAAGCACTGTTTTAGGATCAGTTTTCTACACTTGGTAACTGACAGGACTTATCCTAAAGAAAACGATGCTATGAGCGGCAGCTCTCATGCAAAGGAAGTTTCCCTTGTTTCTGTGAGGTAAACCCCAGCACCATAGCTTCCCTCTGCCACCAACAGGCCCCATTCTGTACCAGTTCTTGACTTGCCAGAGCACTGTTTTTGTCTTTTTAATAATAAATCCCATTTATTTAAAAATTGTTTAATTTAATTTAATTGTAAGTTTTATCTCTATGGGAGTTTTGTCTGCATTCTTATCCGTGTACCAAGTGTGTGCCTGATGCCTTCAGAAGAGGGCAGAGTCCATGGAATCTGAGTCACAGGTGGTTGTGACCTGCCTTGTGGGTGCTGGGAATTGAACCTGGGTCCTCTGGAAGAGCAGCTGGTGCTCTTAGCCTCTGAACCACTCTCCAGCCCCAGAAAAGCTTTGTGATTGTAAATGAGATATACTCATGGCTAGGAATAGGCAGTCAAACCCATCACTCCTGTCAGCGTTCTGCTTTTCATTTCATAACTCTATAGTAGCTAAAAATATAGGCAACAGGCAAATTTGACTATCATTGTTTAAAAGGGTGTATTTCCTTCTATATTACAAAGCGTGTATACAATTTCTCCTTTACCCATTTTGATGAGGGTAGAGTACTTCTGAGGTTTTTGCTAGTTCTTTAGAACCTGGTTTTTCAGTCAGCTAGTTTTCTCAGCTGCCTAGCCACTTCTTTCATGTAAACGAGTACGCTTAACTTCCCGAGGGAAGCTGTTTGCCAGCCAAAGAAAGGAAATGAAGAGAGGGCTGGCTGCAAAACCTTAAAAAACAATTTCATAATGATGAACAACCAGGTAGACAGGAGTTAGTCAACTAAAAAAGAACGTAATGACCTTAGTGAACACTAGCTAGATTACAAAGAATGTGCTGTTAGTGATTTATTTGCATATCTAAGTGGTATCTACAATTTAAAACCAGTTTTCCATCTAGGTGAGCAGGATCTGAGATTACTTTTTATACATAACACAGAAGAGAAAATAAATATTAACCTCACAGTAAAGGACTCATTTCTGAACATACAAATTTGTTGGTTTAGAATATAATACAGAAACAAAAGGTTTCAAGTTGTGCTTGCATATACATTTTCTAAAGTTCTGCTGCCAGCTTGTTAACAGGGAACATCCCCTAGCAAACCTTTGTCCATTATGTGCTTTCTTCGTGCCCCTCAAAATCAAAGTGCTCAGTCAAGTGTATTTTTTGAGTCAGATTCTCCAAAGCATGAATTACTTTCTGATTTTAGAGCAGACAGAGCCCTTTGGAAGTCAGTATTAATAAATGCATCAAAGCAATCAATCATTTATCAGCTTAACAGGATGGACCATACAGGAATATTTGCATTCACCTCACCCTACCATTTCAACCTACAAAAACGAACATTTCTATGGTTTGCTTTACTGTATTTTGAACGTGAGTCAATACAGCGCTGAGGTTGACTATTGCACTCATGCTGGTCGCCCTTCCTTTCGCCTGACCACGATGGGAGGCAGATGTGCAACAGAGTCGGAGCCAAGCGGGCCCTCTGCATCTTCCTGTCTCCACACCAGCTTTGTCACTTGCAAAATTGCTGTAAACATTCCTCTCAATAAAACAGCCTCCGCCCAACAGAGGTCTCAACCTCGAAAGACACCACACGAGGCGGGGTGGGGGTTGAGATGTGGCACGGTCTGGACATGACATCCTGGCAACTGGGATTTCTCGGGTAAGTTTAAATCTTCCCCTAAATCTTTCCCGCTCCTAAAACTGTCCCGAGAAGTTGGCTCGGGTAGTTTGCGAGCGGCTCCTAGTCAGGTGTGGAGAGCTGAGCCGAATGCAACATTCACTCAGTTGAGAAAAAAAAAAAAAAGTCAGCAGGTGTGGTGGTGTGCCTTTAATCCCGGCACTCAGAAGGCAGAGGCACATAGATCTCCGAGTTCAAGGCCAGCCTAGTCTACCGAGTGAGTTCCAGGACAGACAGGTCTACACAGAAAAGAAAGTTGGCTCTTCCGGTCATTCATTTTGGCAGGGATGTAAGTCTGATAGTATGAACACAGGTTAAGAAAACTTCACATTAAAACAATGAAAAATTATAGTAAAAAGAAAAATTATAGTAAAAAAAGTACTTTTGAGATAAAAAGCTTCCCTTTTAAGGGATTTTCATAAAAATCTTTACACGTACGTGTTTGTGTCAGTCGGTGGGTATCTACGCACAAATGCAGGTGCCCACAGAGGTCAGAAGAGGGCATCGGATACCTTGGAACTAGAATGGCCGAGTCAGCTCTCCAGCCTGGATTTTTAAAAAAAAAAAAAAAAATAGAAAAAAGTATGGACAGTATTGGTGGGAGGGAGCCTCCTCTCTGGCTATGGGGGGTGGGAGTGGGAAGGGGCAGAGGCAATAGGCCAAACCTTCCTACCCTGCCTGCCTCCGTGGCTCAGCTGATTTTTAGCTAAGTGCTGTTTTCTGCATCTTTAGTCTGCTGTGGCTAAGTTGGGGATGGCCAGCTGAGGAAGGCTTGCTGGCAGTCCTGTGGGTGGGTGGGTAGGTAGGTAGGTAGGTAGGTCCTGGCTGGTAGGACCCAGGGAAACAAGAAAAGCTCATCTGAACAGCAGGTGACCACAGCTCCTGCCATGTTCCTCAGTGCCCAGCAGAGAGCTGTCTGTCACTGCTCAGCCCTTCATTCCACCCACAGGCGAGCACTGCTGAAGTTGGAGGCCAGCAGGAATTGCAACTAATAATGAGCAACCCTGTCCGTCAAAAAGGAAAAAAGGTAGAACTGCAATAGTTTAGTATACCTATGCTTAGTTTTATCTGGATATTTGCAACTGTATTTATGAGTGTTATAAAATTTCAAAAGCTACTTATGAAGACTTCTTTGTTCTGAGGGCTAAAATAAAGTGAAAAGAGTCAAAATAAAGTGACAGTTTAGGACAGAACAGTCGTAAAGAGGATAAAATTAGGGCCATTAGGATGTACAAAGCCCTGGGTTAAAGTCAAGCGCAGCAACACACACCTGCAATCCCAGCACTCAGGAAAGCAGAGACAGGAAGATCAGAAGTTCAAAGCTATCCTCAGCTACATAGTGAGTGGTAGGCAAGTCGGGGATGCATAAGACCGTGTCTCAAAACAACATCAACAAAAGAACTTCTGCCCCCAGAACCACCCATATAAGCTGTTAAAAAAAGCAGTGGGCGGGCCTCTTTCTAAGATCAGTCCAGGAAAGCCTAACGTACCGAACGCACCACACTTAAATGTAGCTATGTCATGAGAACCGCATATATTGAGTGAGTGATCCCTTATCCCACTGCCTTAAAATGCGCCCTGTCACAATACTGCCCCAATATTATTACATATTTCAAAATCTGTATAAAATATTATGTGGGACAACAAACAAAAGACACATAATCTTTAAAAAGTTCATTACAAAGTTGACTGTATAAAATGCTAAAACATAATCCATATATACAAAACGCTGTTGTTTAAGAAAATAATGAGACCCAGTTTTAGAACAAAATAATTTTATACAAAAAGACGGTATTGCGTTCAAATCAACATTTTAAAAAAATTAAAAAGAAATATTGAAATGCGTTAGTTCAGAACAGCTGAGTGGGTGCATTTATAGCGTCACGTGGTCCCGCAAGTACAGCAGAGTCAGCTGCGAGTCGGCTGCGGGAGAATGGCCTCCTGGCTGGGACAGTCACCGACGAGACGGGTACTTGGAAGACCAGTCTATCCTGCCATGCACAGGCTGGGCGGCTGGAGGTCTCGGGACCAATCCGGGGGTGCTCCTAGGCTGGGTGTGGAAGAAAGGACGCCCGGGGTGAGGTCTCACGGCCTTCAGGGAAGAGTAGCCTGCAAGGGAAGAGAATGCCAGACTGACCCACACGGGCCTCAAGCCAAGTGCAGGAGGGCAGAAAACTGACCTTCAGGAGGAGCACTTGCCTCCTTCTTGGTGTCCCCTCCCGTAGGCGAGGAGAAACCCACTGGAAGACTTGTCTAGTCAAAAATACTAGTGTCATCCTTGGCCACTCTTTTTCTCTTATCTACAACCTGTCAGCAGATCCTGTTGACTCTCCATCCCACGTACACACAGAATCTGCTGACTTTTTATCAACTGTTAGCAACCCTGGCCCAAGCTAAGGCTCTTGCTTCTAACAGTGCTCCCATTTAGTCTAATGACAACAATCAGCTGAGGACACCAGTGCCAATGGCCGACAGATCACTTCACTCCACAGAGAATGCTCCAGTGGCTCCCAAGATCAGCCAGTGACAACATACTCCAGTACAGGGAATCACCCTCCACTCTATCACTCCTGACTTCCTCTAGATAACCCCTGCCTCTTTCTTGCCCCTACGCACCCTGTATTTTGGCCTCTTGACTGTTCTCTGAGCCTGCTAGGCCTCATGCGCTGTGAAGCCCGTGTACTCAAGAATCCAATACCATTCACAGTGCCTAACTGTCCAACACCTCCTCCCCACCTTTACTAAACGCCTCCTTTGCAGTGAACTTTCTTTGGTTTCTTGGGCTCCAGTCCCCGAGGCTCTACTTCTTGCCTGCTGTGGTTTTTTTTTTCATTAGGCTCTATGCACATCAGACTTACTGTATGTTTACACTTATTCACTCATCATCTACAGAGTGAAAGTTCACCCTGGGCAAGGAGTGCTGCCCAACTCATTCTGTCTACACTGTTCCGGTCTCAGAGCAGCTGTTTAGCAACTACCGGATTGATTTACAGATGATGTGAAATGCAACTCACCAGGGGAAGGGTCTGCAAGAGGCGCCAGGTGGACCCTCTGCATAACAGAACCGATTTCTTTCTTCAGGAAAGAAGGGATATAACTTCCGGTCAGTCCACTAGAACTTGTAGAACCCGAGCCAACTGAGGTATGGAAAGGAAAGGTCATTACTACAAAGACACACCCTGTGACGCCAAGAGTACACAGCAGCACATTTTTACTTTTGGGGGGAAAAAGAAGAATGAGGAAGAGTTCTGAGAATACAAGCCACCATACCACAGTCAGAAAGGCCTGGGTGGGCAAAGGCAGTGCCTTCCGGTGGGCAGCAACTAAGGGACATATTTAACAGTTCCAGTGTTTTTCCCCCAAGAATCGATTTAACCTGTTCTGCAACTTTTTTTTTTCTGTTCTATCGCATGGAATATACTTTCATGCCAGTACATACAAATTCTGAAGCACAGCTGAATGCAATTCACTTAACGGATTCTCTTGCTGATCCGACACATAGGTAAGCCTAATAATTTGTTTAGATGCTACAAATAGAAATTAATTATCCTGTTGCTAATTAGAAAAACTAACCATTGATAAAAATGTTTTAAAATTTATCATTATTGGGTTTGTATGATGTGTGTGGGGGAGTGTAAACATCATGGCATTCATGTGGTGTCAGAAGGCACCTGTGGGGTCAGTTCTGTCCTGCCACCTTTCCATGGTTCCAGGAACTGAGCTCAAGTCTCCAGACTGGCACAGGAAGAACCTTTACTTGCTGAGCCATCTTACTGGGCCCCAGTAAAAATGTCCTAAAAAGTCACTGTTTCTGTCGACCTGCCTTTCCCTTCTTTCTTCTCTGAGGCAGAGTCTCACTGCAGAGCCCAGGCTGGCCCCATGAGCAGTGCTCCTGCTGTAGCTTCCTGTGTGCTGGGATTACAGGTCTGTGCCATTGTAGGCAAAGCTTGTTTAAATCATTTCCATCTGAGAGTGTGGTGGGGCAGACTGCTCACTGCCCTCCTTTGTATTCTAGGAGGCTAATGGGATAATTTTAGCATAGACACATGAACAAGTGTTTCTAATGCTTAAAGGCACACAGGACAACAGAGGAGAACAATACTAGTGACACCTAAACAGATAAAAGTTCCTCTTGTGAGGAATCGGTAATGGTACAGTTGTTTTGTCTCGACAGCCAAAAGGCAGAGTGGGACACGCCCTGGAATGCATGGAGTCACTGTGCAGTACAGGTTAATAAAAAGACAGCAAGAAAAATGAGGGGAGAATTTGAACAAGTTCCCCCACCCCATGAAAGAAAGACACACTTAAGACATTCAAGTTTGGACTTAGGACACCATTTTACACCAGATCAGATTCACTTTAGTCTTGGGTACCAGGTGTCACCAAGAACGAAGCACAACTATACCCAGCTGGGACAATGTGACGATGGCTGCTATAAAGCCCAAGATGGTCACACCCTTAAACTTAAAATGCTGATTCCAGCAGAGGACCTTTCGCCTGTGTGCACAGAAACATGGACACAGTGGTGTCCACCCTGGCCCCTTCTGATGAATAAGCAACAAACAGCCATGTGCTTATCAAGCAGACATAGAATAGTGACCCAGTATAAAAATGGGTCATGGCACCATACAACCACACACAGTGTGGTCCACAATCTAGGGCAGATACGTATATGTTATTCCTTAAAGGGAAGCGTTCACATAAACTTTAAAATACGGAAAACTCACTGAATTTCACACATTTCTCAAATGCACAGGAAAAGTTAACATCCGTTCAGGCCTGGTGTGTGGGGCGGAGTGGGCTAGTCTCTGGGCCTCGAGTGGGTTCTTGGGTGGCAAGATGGGCACTGCACTCCTAACTGAACCCTAATGGGAGGAGGTGGGGAGTGGAGAGGGTTAGGTGTGTGCTATGTGCTATCGGAGAGGAACTAACACTAGCAAAGGCAGTGTATGGGAGACATCGTGGGGAAGCTGTCTACTGGGAACCTGGCTCATCATTTCGGAGGACTTTATTAAAAAGAAAAGAAACCATCCAACTAGAAAGGATTCTGACACCCTGGCCAGGGCAGGTCCACCGGTTGAAAAGTCCAGCTGGAGCAGAGACCAACACTGACTTGAGGAGCCAGGCGTCCAAAGCACACCAGGGTGTCAGAGGTCAGGTCTGGTAAGTCTGTAAACTTCTTTTCAGCTTTCCCCTGGGTCACGGAGGACTGCTCTACCCCCCACCTCCCCTGAGAAGAGAACCCTGCAGGAGCTGGCTGAACCCCAAGGGTGGGGAGCAAGAGGCAGGGAAGCTGAAGAGATGCCTGTGTCTGAGACCAGAAAGGCCTCATCCCACAGTTCCCTATGCTGCCCTTTCTCCAACCCCATATCATCCAGAGAACTGGCCTCTGGTCACTCAGGAGTTAGCAACTGTGACTTGCCTGGGGTTATTTTGCTCACTACTGACACTGTTCCTGAAGACTTTCCAGACAGACCAGAACTGGACCACGAATTTGATGGAAGAAAGTCCTTGCCTGGATTTGGGAGCACGCCATTCCTTACATTTATTCCTAGAGAAGAAGAAATGAGCTTAAAATGCAAAACAAACCAGACAGACAGACAGAAGTACATACACACAATGGAATATTAGTCAGTCCTAAAAAGAACAGGATCTTGTCATTTGCTGTGACATGACATTAACCCAAGGGAAACACGCTGACACACAACGAGAAATATTACATGATCTCGCTTGTATGTGGAATCTATGTTTGGTTGTGAGCCTGGCCTTTAGTTGCTGAGCCATCTCTCCAGCCCTATATGTGGAATCTAAAAACAAAAACAAAAACCTATTCAAATATATTGAGATAAACGAGAAAACAAAACAATAACAAAAGCCAGGAGCCCAGGGCAGGCGGGGACAAAATGGAAGAACTGTGAGAGGGATGCTCAGAGAACAGAGCAGCATCTGTTAGTTCACGGCACGCTACCAGTCTCATCCCTAAGGACCACAGTAACAAAACTAAACTACATATGAAATCTTCTCTAAATTAGTAGCTTTATGGTGTTCTTGCCATAAAAACAAATAATGGTAACTACATGAGATAGTGGATGCTTTAATTTGTTAGGTCCAAAGCAGCTCCCACCATGCACCCCACCTGTACCCCAATGGCAGAGCCACTGACAATGTTGTGAACGACAGCCCAGGCTCAGTTCAGGCTGGGCTCTGACTGGGTTAACAGAAGGGTTGCAGTTGGATAAACAAAGCCCCAAGTTAGCGGTCTGTTTCTCAGGAAGAGGCGTGGTTTCCCTTATCCCCACCATAGCAGATGATCTCTGGCAATGAGGCATCTAGCTCCCTATTAACACATACCTGTAACACACATCAAACTCCCCAGACCACCTCCCCCACCACCTAGCTACCTGCTTCCTTTGAAACTGGCAAGGCTTTCCCATCTTTGCTAGTCTCTCGGAAATCCAATAGATAGCCATGGGCAGTTTTCAATTTCCCCAAATAATGTTTTATTTGGGGAAATACCCATGGAGTGGACCAGTTTGGTGGTTTCACTGCACCCATGCTGTGCGGGTTTGAATAGGAATGCGCCCTCCCCCCCATGCTCAAATGTTTGAATGCCTGGTCATTAGGAAGTGATGCTACTTGAGGATGCATGGCCTTCTCAGAGGAAATGTATCATTGGGAATGGACATTGAGGTTTCAAAAGCCCAAGCCAGGCCCAGTGTCTCTCCTCCCACTGCCTGTGGATCTGGATGCAGAACTCTCAGTTCCTTCGTCAGCACCATGTCTGCCTGAGTGTCACCACACTTCCTCCATGCAGACATTAGACTAAACCTCTGAACTTGTAAGCAAGCCCCAATTAGATGCTTTCCTTTATAAACATTGCTGTGCCCATGGTGTCACAGCAATAGAACAGTGACTAAGACAGTTTCTTATATTTACCCTAGTATATTTCTTATTATTTATGTGTAACCTATGACATGATGTTAGATATTTTATCAGACATAGTAAAGTTCATCTGAAATGTAAAATAAATCCCATACCAAACTTAAAAAAATAACACAGCACACAGAATACAAAAAATTTCTGTGGTACAAGGTCCCCTGGTCCCCCAGAAACTGATAATGTCACCTGACAGAGGCAAAGGGAAAAGGCAGTCTTTGTGTGGAGCGCATTGTCTCATTTGTGGACAGTCTGAGAGGTTTTCTTATGTGTCAGCTAACAGATCTGTCTGTGTCCTGGCTTTCAGGTGCCCTCCTTCAGGAGGACTCCTCCAGGACTCCTAACATTTTAATCTTCCCTCTTCCCAGATGATGACTTCTTTCCTGTTACACTCATGTTCTCTCCGTCCCCACCCTACCCCATGCTCCTGCTCTGCAGCCCTTGGTTTCTCTTTGTTCTCTGAGGTTCCACCTTCTCCCACAGCCTGGCCCACCCTCACTGTTGGCTGCTGATGACTTCACAGGCCTCACTCATGCTCCTCCTTCACTCGCAAGGCTGCCCAGGACAGAACACAGAAACCCTGAAGCCAACCTCAAGACAAACCTCTCCCATGCTCCACGCTCCTGCCAACGCCAGGCTCTGCAGCTGTTCCTTAGGACTGAAGCTCACCCACTCCTCCACCACAGCTGCAGTGGCTGGACCTCTCTACACCCGTCACCCTGGGAACTGCAAACCCAGACTTCAGGATCACACTATCAAGACTCCGACAGCCTGGCTGGATTTAACATACTCCCAACCCCAAGTGAGGGAGTGTGTGCATCCGCGTGTACACTTGCGTGTGTGTCTGCTTCATCATCATCTTCTTAGTGCTCGGCACATAGTAGGTGCTTGATACAGTCTGATGAGTTAATCTGTGAGTGGATGATCAGACCATGGTGTGAGGTTGCGATCTGAAGTCTGGAGAGAGGCTTAGGCACCTACCAAACTACAGTACTGCCTAGAAGGCATAGCTAAAGCTTCTACCCTGCTTTCCTGAGTGGCAGAGAGAGAAAGATGGGCTTTGGGGATGCTAGTTCTAGTTCTCGCCAAGTCATCCATCTTCAGAGGCTCAGCTTACATTTCCTACTCTAAGTCTCTCATCACAGGATGCCTACGTTAGATAGAAATGCAGGGCCCAAAGATTCTATGATGTCCTCCCTGACTCGAGGCCATGAGCACACTAACCACAGAGGCCACACAGCATGCAGCATGAGGCGTGTCTTGGGCTTGCAAGAAATTTGGATTTCATTTCATGAGCAATGGATAGCTCTGGAAGGGTTTCAGCTGGAAGGGTTAAATGATGTGATCAATACAGTGTGTCAAGTAGGGCCCAAGAAGGAGCACAGAAGTACTTGTCCTCCGAAACAGAATCTATAAACATATGTGGTCTCGGAGAGAAGACCAGTTACTGGTGACCAGAGGCGGGGTGTGTTGTGCCCCTTCTGTTACCAGGCAAGTAGCGAGAATGCTTCAGGTAGTGCTGCTTTGCTGCCGATCGCAGGGTTGGCGTGTCTCTCCTCTGGGAGGAAGCCTGGGTGGAGACACTGGTTCCTGTGCCCACCGGCTCAGATGGCTTCAGGTCCAAAACACTTTCAAACCTGCATCAGGAGAATGTGGCTTGGGTCAGGGGCAAGGCGTGCTGGCGCATCGCCACACAGATACCCACGGATCTGATCGGCCTGCCCACGGGGAGAAACAGCACACTTGCCTGCAGAGGGTGTCATCGCTCTGTCTCCTCTTGTTTTTCACATCTATCCTGGTGAGAGAGGGACTAAAATCTAAGTCATCCAAATCGGCCCAATCATCAGAGCCCTTTGTTGACCTGGAAATAAGACCCCACCTTCTCCTGCTCTTTGGCTTCATTTCACCATTTTTGTGTTCCAGGCCTGCTGGGATTTTCTGTGTAGACAAATAGAGGAGAAGGAAAAGAAAAAGCAGTATTAACAGGGTACATCTATCAATAATCTGTGCGTGTGTTTGAGTATGTCTGTGTATCTGTGTGTGCCTGTCCATCTGTGTGTGCTAGTGATGGACTCCACAGTCTTGTACATGCCAGGCAGGTGCTGTGCTTGAAGGTGCTACGCTGAGCGTAACCTCAGCCCACCGAGCGATGATTCCTATTCTGACTTTCCTTTGGAACACAAGAAGCACCTGGAGTATGGCGCTAACCCACAGCCCCATCTGTCTGAAAGGGCATCTGTGGAAAACGAAAACCCTTACCTTCTGTCTCCAACTCATCTTATACTAACTATATTTTTTTCGTAATCAAAACTTCACAAAGTTACATGGAACAAGGAAGATTCCTACAGGAAAGTATCCTGATTTATTCTCTTGCTGCTGTGATAGAACAAACACCCCGATCTGAGTGCCTTAGCAGGCTGGGCAATGGTGGCGCAAGCCTTTAATCCCAGCACTCAGGGCAGAGGCAGGAGGATCCTTGAGTTCAAGGCCAGCCTGATCTACAGATTGAGTTCTAGGACAGCCAGGGCTACACAGAGAAACCCTGTCTCAAAAAAAAAAAAAAAAAACCAAAAAAAAAAAAAAAAAAAAAAAACAAATTAAAAAACAAAAACCCAAACCAGCAACAAAACAACTATAAAAAGTGCCTTAGCAGAGAGTGTTGGTTTATCCCACGATTCCAGGTTCTGGTCCATCCTGGTAAGAAAGCGGAGATGACAGCAACCTGAGGTGACAGTCACATTACATCCACAGTAAGGAGGAGACAGCAATGAATTAGTATATGCATGCTGGTGTCAGCCTGCTCCAATCTCCATTTCTAAAGTCCAGTGCTCATGAGACAGTGTTTCGAACACTAGGAGGTCTTCCCACTCAATTAACCCAATTAAGAAAGCCCTTCCGCTGGAGAGAAGCTCTGCGGTCATTAGCACACACTGTTCTTACAGAGGACCGGAGTCCAGTTCCCAGCACCACATCAGACAGCACACCACTGTTTGTAATTCTCCAGAGAACATAACACTTCTGGCCTTGTACATTATTTATTAAGAAACCAGCTGAAAAAAAGTTTGTGCTCAATTAACAGCCCAGCATTGACATCAGTTCATAATAACAATATAAATAACAGTCTATAGACAGAAGAATGATTTCCTGCTCCTCAGGATTTTCAAAACATGCTCACAGGCATTCGGACCTTCCACTGGCAAGAACAAACTGGTCTGAGGAGGGAGATCACCTTCCTTAGATGAAGAAACTGACTCTGTACAGATCAACAACAATAACACCCACAGATTACTGAGTTTTGTGATGTAGTCAGGGTTTCTGCTGCTGAGAAAACACCACGACCAAAAGCAACTAAGGGAGGAAAGGGTTTATTTCCTCTTCCTCTTCCAGTTCATCTCTGAAGGAAGTCAAGGAAGGAACCCAAGCAGGGCAGGAACCTGGAGGCAGGAACTGAAGTAGACGCTACGGCTACTGTCTTGTTCCCCAGGTCTTGCTCAACTTGTGTTCTGCTCAGGATCACCTGCCCAGGGCTGTACTACCCACAGTAATCTGGGCCCTCCCACATCAACCAGTAATAAAGAAAATAAACCTCAGGCTTGCCCACAGGCCAGGTTAATGAGAGTGTTTTCTCAACTGAGCGTCTCTCTTCTCAAATAACTATCTTGTGTCAGGTTGACATAAAACATACGAGCACTATGCACACTGTGATGATACGATATACTAGGTACTATTCTAAATTCTCAAGTATTAACTAAGTCAATCCTCAAACAATTCTGTTAGGTAGACATGGTAGCTGTTTCTACTTCACAGGTGAGATGAAAGGGAGCAGAGAAGCCAGGTAACTAGCTTTCCGTTTCCAAGTGTTGAAGAGCAGAATTCTGGCTATAGGGTCCAGCTTGCCAGCAGCTACTCCAGTTGCTAGCAGCAGTGTGTGGAGGTCTGATGAGAACATCCCCCTTAGGCTCAGGTGTTTAAGTTGTGGTCCCCAGTTGGTAGCACTGTTTGGGTAGAGTTAGGAGATGTGGTCTGGCTGCAGGGAGTACGTCACTGGGGTGGGGCTCTGCCAAATTTGTGTACCATTTCCAGTCTGCTCTCTCTGCTTGGTGCCTGCAGCTCCAGATGCAAGCCGTTAGCCTCCTGCTTCTACGGTCATGCCTTCATTCTGCCATCATGGGCTCTAACCCTCTGTCCCCATAAGCCCAAATAAACTCCTTCTTCTCTATGTTGCCTCAGCCATGGTTTATCAGAGCAACAGCCCAGGGACTAATACAGATTTGTACTGTTAAGGAAAGGGCAAGAGCTGAATTCAGACCTCGAATCAAGGGCCTTCTCACAATGCCATGGTACTGTGAAGACAAGAACGTATACGGCCTTATGCATGGAAGAGGAAACTATCAGCATTGATAGCCAGAAGAGAAATAACTATAGTTTCCTTGAAGACACTTACTGGCTGAAGATTCTTATTGTGGAGGGACGGGAAGAACGGTGGGCTTGGCTTGCCCTCTTGGAGATGGTCTGCCCTGGGGGCTTCGCCTTTGTAAGGGTGCACAAAATGCTGAGGGGGCTGACCGGCTTGGTTTGGTCGTGAAGAAATCAGTGTGTGTGCCTTGGTTGGAGGCTGGGCAGGGGGGGCTGGCTTGATGTAAGGAGTGGGGCCTGTCTTGTCTTGGACATCTTTCTGTGGTTTTCCTGAATCCTGTGTGATGATGCCCAGTGGGTGTCCAATCTGGAAGTAAGGATAGCGAAGTGCCTGGAATGACAAATGTGGCATTAGGAGAGAAGTCTGAAGGGATGACAAACACCATCATAATCAATGAACTATAGTTCATGTGACCACTTCACTACAGACGCTTACCCCAAACCTGCTATTCATCAACATCCTGCACTGGTAACCTCTTGCTTTTCCATATCCAAGCTAACATAACATTTACATGTTAGCTGCAATACTAAAATTATATGGATAAATAATTATATGGATAAAGCATATTGTATGAATCTGGGAATGGAGGGACTTGCCTATAATCCTAGCACTCAGGAAGGTGGGGGCAGGAGGATCAGAAGTCAAAGGCCAGATTTGGTTAAACAGGAATTTCAGGTCAGGCTGAACTATATAAGATCTTGTCTCAAAAGCAAGCAAGCAACCAACTAACAACAAAGCAGACAGTGGTTATCTCTGCCTTTATTCAGGCCAATAAACCAAACTTTCCCACTAAGACCAGGTTTAGCTGCCAGCTGCTCTGGATAATTGAGTTTCCTGGTTAGCCAAGGGATAAGCCTTAACATCCAGAAGCTTGCAAGTCTATGAAATTCTATATATATATCCCCCTGGATTTGTTAATGAACGTCACTGAAAATAACAGCATTTTCTTAATGAATCTGGGAAATAAGTTATAAACATCTACAATTATTATATGTAAGCACAGACTCAGAGCCCAGCAATGTGGGCGCCTGTCAGAGCCTTGGACTCTGGCATGTAATCTGAAAGAATTCTTCGTAGCCCCTGGTGTTTTTGCAAGTCCGATCTGATCTGGGGGCAGTTTTAGCTTTTTTGATACATTCATCCCTCACTTCTTGGTTATAGGAGTTCTGTTGTAACTTGTTTAACTTAATAGTTTATGGGCATCCTATAAAAAATAAAGTGCTTCATGAGACATTTTCCTTCCTGCCCTTCAGCCATTTGTGAATTTCACAATCAGAAGTGCATGGGCTTTCTGTGTCTGACCAGCGAGCTGCGGCTGACTCTTTAGGGTTTAGTAATTTATCTGCCCCTTAATTATTCCCAACTCTTACCTTTCCAGCTACCACAAACTGGCAATTTCTTCATGTAGCCCTGTGGCTTTTGTGATAAAAGGTCACAGATCACCTTCTCTGGCTAGACCTGGTCCTTACCTTGATGCTCTGAGCAGCGTAATTAATTGTTCATGAGTCAGGCTGACAAAGGTTCAAACACAACTAATGCAAAACCAGGCTTGTGGGAGGCAGGTGAGTGGTAAGAGCTACCTCGGCTCTTTCAGGTACATTTCATAATTTATCAACGTATCCCAGGGGAGGGTAGGCGGGAAGACAAGAGGAGTGGCCTCTTTCGGAAGCCCTGCTACTGGATTATAGGCAGCTGCACTACATACTACCAATTACTGAATAAAGTGAGTAGGAAAAATCGACCAAACTTTCTTAGCTTTAGCTCTCGTACCCACAAGGTCATTTACCTCACGGAGTCTTTGTTAGGTTGAAAACACATAAAATACACCGTGGCATGTACAAAGTGCATGGAAATGCTAGCTGCAGACACTTGCCTGTCTACCCATTTGCCGTTCTGTCTTTGCTCTCTGCCCATGAGTGATTGGGTTTTGTGAGGTATAAAGTTACCTTTCAGCAATCAGTGCAGGCTTATCACTGAAATACTGAATGATCTTAACTCGTAGAGAAGACATTTTAAAACACCTCCAAAGACAGGCAGGTACACACTTTTTTAACATTATCATTATTACTATTATTATTTGTCTTTTGAGACAGGGTTTCTCTATATAGCCCTGGCTGTCTTGGAACAACTCTGTAGACCAGTCTGGCCTTGAACGCGAGAGATCCACCTGCCTCTACCTCCTGAGTACTGGTATTAAAGACATGTGCCATCATGTCCCGATGGCAATTTTATATTTTTTTCATTTGCAGATTACATATCTATCTCATATTGCGATATATCATGTGACCTACATGTTAATGTTCAAGGCAAACATAGTTTAATCTGAACTATTTTAATTATGCACAAGTTTCAGATTATCTTAAATTCCTCTGGTTCAGACTATTTTCAGCCATGTTGCTAAATGAAAAACACATTATGTAATTTACAGAAATACTCAGAGTTAGGTATAGATTTCCTAAGAAATGCTTTGAACAGAAAAACCAGGCAAACCTGACTAGCGGTTGGTCGTTTCTTGGGATCCCACTGAAGCATGTCCCTCAGGAGCTGAACTGCCTCACTGCTAGCATTTGGAATTAGAGTCTTTAAGTTATTGGGTATGCACTGGGGCCAGAGGAAGTTCATAGCGCTCGACAGCTGGTAGCCTTCGGGCCAGTCAGTCTGCAGGAAAAGACAAGAAATGCTCTCAGATGGTTGCTGTGGCTGGTTACAGGCTGTCTGTGTGTGCCCATTACAGAAAGGCAGTTGTATGATGGCTCCATTCACTTCACTTAAGAAGGTGTGTGTGATGGGACCTGGGGTGTCCATGATGTTCCCTAACAGGGACTGCACTGCATGCAATCTGAGGAGCAGCAGGAGCGACAGTGAGTTGTCCGCAGCGGAGCTTCTGTCATTAGGCTGTCCATCTCTGGAGGACTGCGGACTGAAGCCCATAGCAATTTCCCTGCTGTGCTCCCTGACTCATGGGTTTTGGAAACTGCCAGTATGATAACTGTGAGGGGGGAAAACAAAATAAAATGGCAAAATACCAATTCTTGTCCCAATACATTTGTGAAACTCCATGTGTTACTATACCACCAACTCGATGATTCTAAATATCTATGCTGAGAGGACAAGCAGAGATAAAGCTGTCTGTTCCACTTTCCGCGTTTTCATGCATCCCATCTGTACTGCACTGAAGGCTGCAAAATCTGAACAGCTAGGCGCAAGGCTCTCTCCAGTTCCAACACTACCATTTTAGTAAGGCGCACCGCACTATAATTTTGACCTCTCCTGGAGCCAACAGCTACTCTGTAGATCATCCTCTCGGACAGTTCCTGAGTCAATGCTTAATGCTGTCGAGCGTCCAAAAATAATTCAATATAAATCCTTCCCTTAAGAACAGTACTGTCTTCAAAAGACAAAATAGGACATTTATTTTAAAGCATAATAATAAAAAATGGCAAAGAGGGGTAAATATAGATACAAAGAGGACAGAGGCCAGCAGGGGACTTTGAAAACATTATCATTACCATGGTGGAAGTGATGATTCAGTTAAACAATTGAAAACGAAATAAATTCTGTCTAGCCTGTTTAGGGCCCTAAGTTTGATATTGATACCCAATGCCACACACAGACATGCACATACAAAACAAAAACAGGGGGGAGAGGAAGGAGGAAGAAAAAGGTAAAGGCAGAGGGTGGGGAGAATATAAAGATCAAACAGCAATGAAATTATGAAACAGCAGTGGTACTGGGAAAATAGACACAACACAAATGTATTAATAGCGCAGAGCTCAGATACAGTGGAGAATGGAGAAGCAGTGGGGTGGAATGTCAGAGTCCTTTTGAGGAAGAAAGGGATCTTGATGGCCACTGAAGAGACATTCATTCAGGCAATACGCAGAAATGAGGCTATTCCAGGGTACAGTAGAGCCAGGCTGTGCACAGGAATGAAGCAATGAGTGATGTATAAACACTTTCAAGTGAAGACCAGATTGTAATCAGAGCTGGGGTTTTTGTTTTGTTTTTTAGGAAGGAGAGTCTACTCACAGACTGAAAAATAAGCTGGAGGGAAAGCCTGGATAGCAGGGGAAAAAGAGGAAAAATGAAAAAAAGAAAAGAGAAAGAAAGCAAATATACCCATGGTCCCGGCTCCAACTCCGCAGTGATTCTGTAAAGACAGACAAAAGGAGGTAGAGGCACGTGGATCTTTGTGAATTCTAGGCCAACCTGGGCTACATGGTGAGACCCGTACCTCAAAGCCAAAGCCAGAGCCAAAGCCAAACCAAACAAAAACCTAAAGAGCCATATAACACAGCCTCAAGACTGGCCCCCAGGGACTATGATGAGAACAGACAGAAGCAGGCGGTGAAGGAAGGAAGCATGTTAAACCGTAAGCGCTGTGCTTCTGCTGCGCTCAGCCGGAGGTGATGGAGTGAGGAAGGAAGACCCTGAATACCCGTCAGGATGTGAACTGTCATAAAGGAGAGAAGCTGGGGTACAGAATGCCTTCCTAAGGCTTAGCAGACATAACTGTTCCCATAGGAATGGAGGAATTCTGTAAAGGGTGAGACGGTGTCAAGAAAAAGCAGAGTCACGACAAACCCCATAGCTGTAAGCACAGCGAAGGGGAGAAGCTGGCCTTGCTAGAGAACCTGGGCGGAAGAGAATGGTCGAGGTCAAGAGAGACTCTAGACCCGTCTAAAGTGTGTGGGCGCCACACAGCACTGGGGAGTGACAGGGCAGAAAGCTGCTGGCTTTGGCCCACGAGCCTTTGTTCTATGTCGTTACCTTCTTTGGTGTTCCCAACACTTGGCAAATTTTGAAAATCGTGTCAATTTCACTGGCCCCAGGGAAAAGAGGCCGGAGGGTATACACCTCTGCCATGATGCAGCCCACTGCCCAGATGTCAATGGGGGAGCTGTAGTTGGTAGATCTCAGGAGTACTTCTGGAGCCCTGTACCTGAAATGACAAAGTCAACAGCTGGCTATTGCTTCTGCTGGTCACAATTACAGTCAACAATAAGTAACTCTCCGTACAAGTACCTATTTTCCTGAAATGCAACGTGGTTACAGGGGCTTATACAGGGTTACAGAGGACCTGGTAACTGTCATAGTCAACAATAAAAAAAAAAAAAAAAAAAAAAACAATAGTCTAAATGCAATGTGGTACAGGGGCTTATAAGGACTTGGCAACTCTTATAGGCAATAAAAAAATAATAATAATACTCTTAGGGCTGTGGTGATAGCTCAGTGGGTATGAGCATTTGCAGAACAAGCATGAGGACCTGAGTTCAAATCCCCAGCATCCGAGTAAAAAGCCAGGCATCTACCTATAACTCCAGCATCGGAGGGTAGAGACAGGTGGAGCCCATGAGCTTGATGGCTTCCCAGCCTAGGCAAAAAGGTGAGCTTTTTTTTTGCCACAGACCCTGTCTCAAGGAAATAAGTCTGACAGTGATAGAGGAAGACATTCAGTGTCCTCCTCTGGCCTCCCCATGGGTGTGAGCACACACACACTCATGTGCATGTACTATATGCACAAATATACCCACACATATACAGGATACACATGTGAAAGAGAGAGGGAGAAGAAGGAAGGAAGAGAAAGAAAAGAAGTTGGGATCTACTCAGAGGCTTCTTAAACTTTTTCCACTTAGAACTCCATTTCCTCTCAGAAGTTTTTGTATCTCCTCAGGCATACAGGTATGTGAAATAGGTATAAAAATATAAATAAATAAATAAATAAATAAATAAATAAATAAATAAATAAATAGATAAATAAATAAATAAATGACTAGATAGATAAATGACTAGATAGATAAATAAATAAATAAATCACACATTTATATTAGTCAATTCTTTAGTGTACATATAATTTTCCGTTTATCAAAGATAAAAGCAAAAATTCACCTAATAATTTTCTCCCATTAGACAGTGTTTCTCTGTGTATAACTGGCTGCATCCCTTGCTATACTGACCAGGTTGGTTTCAAACTCAGAGATCCGCCTGCCTCTGCCTCTGTGTGCTGGGACTAAAGGAGCATGCCATCATACCTGGTGAGATAAGAGTCTTACGTAGCCCACACTGACCTCACGCTCACTCTGTAGTTAAGAATGACCTTGGGCTTCTGATCCTCCTGCCTCTAGTGCTGGGACTGCAGGCACGCACCACCACACCTGTTTTAAGAGGTGCTGGGGGTTGGGCCCCCGGCTCCATACTAGGTGGGTACTCTGTTCATTGAGCCACATTTTTCAGGCTCATCTAGTGATTTCCTTTCAACTCAACCAGCAAATCCAACATTAATCTTAAGAATCAAGCAAAATGCATACAATCCAATTTAAAGAGATCTTAATTTGATACTAATTTGCTAAAGAAGGATGGCAGGGAAAGTCTTTGTTTTGTACAGTTAAACAACAACAACAACAACAACAACAACAAAATCTACCCGTGCAGTACAGACACTGCAGCTGGGACACCCGGCAGCCCTGTGTCGCGTCCACAGTGTTTTGGCAGGACCACTGCACATGCACTGAAAAGCACGCATGCCAACTGTTCGGGACCCAAGCTGCAGTGAAGTCCTGCATGTAGCACGGATCACAGCCACAGATACCTCCGATTGATTCGGAATTAGTTTTTAGTTGTACATTTATTCAGAAACCTTTCACTGCTGCCCCGTTTTCACAACCCCACATTCAGTTACTTGGCCCCATGCGGGATTGCAGCCCATAGTTTTAAAAGCTAGCCTCTACTCCTCAGAGTTGTCTACAGAAGCCTCCCCCTTCCTTCCTCCTCCTCCTCGTCCTCCACAGTCTTTAAAGAATCCCGTGTGGGTATGTGCACATGAGGTCAGAGGCGCTGGGTCCCTCTGGAGCTGGAATGACAAATGGTTGGCTCTAAGCTGCCTGAAAACGGGGGAACCCAACTTGGATCCTCTTCGAGAACAGGACACTCTTAAGGCTCAGCCATCTCCCACACACACTGGCATCTCCTCTGTAGCATCTTCAGGAGCACAGGAAGGAACTGGGCAGGAAGAAACAGAGGGAGCAGGGAGGAGGGAGGAGGGACAGGGAAACTATCTTCAGAGAAGCTTCCACACAAAAACTATCCATACGGGGACTGGGGCGCTGGCTCAGCTGATAAGAGCACATGTTGTTCTTGCAGAGGAACCAGGTCCAATTTCCAGCACCTACAGGACAGCTCAGGGCCAACTGCAACTCCAGGCCCAGAGGGTCTGACTTCCAGGGTACCAGGCATGCACATTGTACACACACACACACACATACACATATATGCAAGCAAAACATTCGTATACATAAAATAATACATCTAAAAACTTAAAAAATTTAGGCTATTGAAAGCATGATGGCTTTCCTTTTAAAACTGTTGTTTTAAACACAAGCTTTTAACTTGTCAGTAACAAAATACCTGCAGTGTTTGAACTATTTTTTTTTTTTTTTTTTACTGAGAAATTAATGTTTATGATTAATACTGGCCTCAGAATAATGTTTTGTTGTTTCAATTTTTTTTTTTTTTTTTTTTTTTTTTTGAGACAGGGTCTCACTATATCGCCCTGGCCAGCCTGGAACTCACTACGTAGACCAGGCTGGCAATGAACTCACAAAAATCCACCTGCCTCCTGGGTGCTGGGATTAGAGGTGTGTGCCATCACACCTGGCCTTATAACCGTACCTTTTGAAAGAAGCACAATTAGATAACTTAGAGAGGGGACAGCATTTACCATCTAGTAGACACATAGTCTGTATATGGAGGTCTTGATCGGATTTCTCGGGCCAATCCAAAGTCTGCAATTTTCACAAGTTCCGGTCCCATGCAGAGAAGGTTCTCTGGTTTTAAGTCCCGGTGGAAGAAGCCTGTGGAGAGAGTGAAGGGGACTGATTGCTCCTTTCTGCACCGCGCTCTGCAGCTCTAACAGTGCTTTGACAACATCCAGAACAAACGCTCGGCCCTTCAGACTTCTCGAAGGGCTGCAGTCCTTTCCTCCTACAAAATCCATCCAAAGTTAATCTCTGTGCATTTTACTTATTCAGAAGCCTTTTTAAACATTAGAACTTGTGTGCTGAGATAAATGCAAACCAAACTATCTCAGGGGTGGGGTGGGGTCATTCCTACCCTGTTCAAGTCAGCAGAAATATATATGTTGAGACTAAAACCATTTCAAATGACAATAATTGTTATTAGTATTAAATTTATACTGCAGCAAAAAAAAATTTTTTTTAAGAGCCAAAAGATTGATGGGTAGGGTCTATTCAGACCTGTCATTCTGGTACATGCTGTGACAGTTTAAAAGTATTCACTACTTTGCCCGATGCCTTGCTCACACTGTGAGCTGCAAAGATGACTCACTGAATGAGAACTCTCAGCTTCAGTGGCGCTACAGGGACGCAGCAAGAGATCCTGAATGTGAGAGCCTTCTAGGCTCACACAAACACCCAGTGCGCGGCAATGTACATAGCTCTGCAAACCCCAAACCACCTCCTCCCTGAGGTGCCACCACAGAGACGCCACTCAGGGGCTTCTCACTGGGACACAGTGAAGGGCAACTTAGTTGATGCGCTAACGGCGTCATCATCTCTAATAGTATACCCTGGGTCATCCGTGAAAGCTCCATCCTTACGAGGATGGAGCTGTCCTGGGGACAGCTGGGCTCAGCAACAGGTCAAGTTCCAAATGCATAGTTGATTGGCGTAACGATGAATCTGCAGACCAAGTGGTTGGCTTAGCTGGACCAAGTGAACACATTAGCGCCTAGAACCCCATGCCTACATGAGGACGAAGGCTCAGAAGTGATCAGAGACATTCAGGGGAGACATGGCAAGAGGATGAAGTACTTCCTCCACAACACAGCCACCTGAGTTGCACATCCCAAGGAACTGAGATCAGAATCAGGTATGGGTTAGACAAGAGACAGACAGGCACAGCACATTGGCTACTTTATAGCGTATGAGCATTTGTAGGATAGGTGCATACATGTGTGTGTATATACTGTGAAAATATACAGAGACTCACTTATATTTCAGTGCTTCATTATTCTGTTGCTGTCCTGACCGATTTCTTCAGAAATCCTAACCAGATTTGTAGCAAAGCAAACATATATAATTATAAGAACCAAACTTGAGGTTATCAGCTTAAGAAACTCAAGAGTGATCCAATATTAGTCAAGAATGGCCTTTCCAATAAAAGAAAAAAAAATGATATAGGCAAATACAGATGGTTTATTAACAGCCCAATGAAATAGATTATCTACCCACCATATGAGTGATATCTGTTCTCAGTCTTGGTGTGCGTGACTCACTGTGTTTGGGACCTTTATTCTTATGAACACCTGCCAGTTCCCAGAAGGCCTGACTGCATGTACCCATCTTAAAAATGAATTAAGAATTAACGCACTTATCATTATCTTTTGTCAACATGCCTAGGACAGTTTCCAGGACCCTTAGAAACTGTGAGATGATGGTTTCTACCTAGAAACTCAAATGCTCTAAAAACCTCTCGGTGAAAGAAGAAATGACAGGCATCATTCTCTTACCAAACACATGAAAAAACTGAAAAACTGAGTCATGAGCAGGAGACAATAAATTGCTCACAATACCACCAAAAAAAAAAAAAAAAAAAAAAAAAAAAAAGAAAGTGTCAGAGCCTAACAGTTCCAAGCAGTATTTTCCCTCTTGGCCCATATACCTAAAGCTGTGGCTTTGACTTGTGGCTTTGATCCTCTCAAGTGCAGCCTAGGTCAACACTGAGTCTCCCAGTAAACCTCCCTTTCCTCCTCTATTTGGGGTAATTATTATTTAGAAACATATGTGGCATTTCTCTTATAGTGACTCATCTGTCCTCGGACCTCCCCCACCCACGGCAACTCCCTCTGGCACCACGTTTAACACCTAAATCCACAACTCTCATCTTCTCCAGTTCAGCCTATCCTATCACATCGACTGGTACTCAGGCAAGCATCCCTTGAACACTCCAAACTTCTGCATTGACTGTAAGCATGCTCTTCTAAGCACCAAGCACCCTTCTCCCCAAAGGCAGGCTTTACCCTTTTCCTCAAGGCTGACTTGCCTTAAATCTAGCGCCACAGAAAGCATACACACTGGTCAAACAGGGAACGAGAATCCAGACTCCTCACTCATCCCTCTAAGCAGCTGCTTTTCTCATACTCCATCGGTTTAGTGAAACATTACTACTTTTGTTTAAAGAGACAACTCAGCTTAGGATAAGGCTTGTGTAGACCAGGAAGGGCGCTCATGGTCATTTAGCCCTTTAGTGTTTGAGTTTCCTCATTGGTAAAATAGAGTCTAGCATCTACTCAACAGGCTTTTAGAGGGACAGTGCCAACATGGTAGCACCATCATGAGGATAACTACTACAAAATTCTCTCTGGTGGCCTCCCCCACACTGTCAACTTAGGCTTTCATGTATGGTGTCGTGTTTTTGTTTTTGTTTTCAGATAAGAATTAAGGCTTGGGAGGGTAGTGACAAGTGCCATCTGTGAGGAGGCAGCAATGGACCTCTGTTCCAATTCCCACCTGGGTCTGCACTCTGCTGACGGACATATGCAGTGTGGCCTGTAACGAGCCCCCTTCTTTCTTCTGGCTCCTGGCTGGACAATGAAAATCCTTCTATCTGTGCCATTTAGAGATCATGCAAAGAGCAGAGTGCTGGCACAGTAAGAACCTCCCTATTCAAATCGGCTTCCAGAACACAGTAACAGGCCCATACGTTCAGGGTACTGCCTGCCTGCCGAACAACACACGGATTTCCCTTCTCATTCGATATAAGATTTTCATGAATGACTTCAAGGAAGAAAAGAAAACAAAGCCTCCAGAAAGGCCTTACCCCTGGCCATATCCTATTACTGAAGACTTTGATTAAATAAGGGGAACGATGGAAGAGTATTTAAATATTATGAGTTTATGGAGCACACCTTCCTGCTGTAAAAGTAATTTCAGGTAATTCTCACCCTCTTTCACTTCCTCCCTTTCCAATTTCCCTCTTCCCTTGGATCTAAACCTACAGTGTTATTACAAGAAAGCAGGGTAGGCCACAAGAGCAGCAGCACAGACAGGCTAAGGGCCATCTCAAGGTCACGCACTTAAGCGGTGAGGCTCAAAGGCACAGCATCACCTCTGGGGCCAAACACTGCCCTCCAAACACCAAATTCATTTCCATTATCTGATGGTGACCTGTGCCCCGGACAGATGTAAGGGTAGGTCAGCAGGAAACACACAAGGGACGTGTGCTTTGCCATTGTTCAGTCAGTGCCAAGTACAGCCATGTGTTCATTCCCCACGGGCAGGGAAATGCTCGGTGACATGCAGTATGGCCCTAGCAACCAGCCGCGGTGCTGTTCTTCCCTCTTAGAGGAGAGCACTCCCTGGGGCAGACTGCACCTTCCCCCTGTGAGACTGAGCTCTGGGGAAGGGCTGAAGTGCACCAGACAGCTCCAAGTGCAGTAGACAGTTTTTCTATCAACACAGGGAAAGGGTGAAATCTAGGCACATGCTCACTTAACTACCAAAGCCAAGACCATAGAAGCCCTCTAAGTTAAAAAAGAAAATTCACCTTTATTTATAAATGTGCATGTGTGCATGCCATTGGACACGTGTGAGGGTTAAAGGGCAGCTTGCCTGTATTCGCTCTTTCCATTGAGAATGAATTCAGTTTGTCAGGTTAGGTGGTAAGTGATCTTACCCACGCAGCCAGCTCTTATTTTTCTGTCCCCATACCATGCTTTTTAAAAAAAAAAATCACTGGGGGGAGGGGGAGCGGTTGGGGGGAGGGGAGAGAGAAAGACAGAGAGAGAAGACTTGAGAACTTAGTGCCCACCCTGCTTACAATCACGACCACCTCCTTCCTCTCAGACTCTCCAACAAACTCTCTATGGCAGTGTGATCTCTGCTGAGCTGTCTCTCAGCTCCTGATTGTTTGTTTCTTTGAGACAGGGTTTCTCTGTGTAGCCCTGGCTGACCTGGAACTCAGTCTCTGGACAGGGCTGGCCTTGAACTCACAGAGATCCGCCTGCTTCTGCCTCCTAAGCGCTGGGACTGAAGGGTGAGCCACGCCAGGCAGCCTCCTCTTTTTTGAAAGGCTTAGCTACTATCCGTTCTCTCTACCTGTAAAGGTGACAAGGAAAGGAAAGCATACCAGATGGAGCTAGCTCCCCAGAACTGCGCATCTGGGAAAAATGTCAACAACCACTACCTCTGGTGAGGGCCAGGGTCTCGAGGTTATGAATGTGCAGGCCTGACTCTCTCTTGCACATACATTCTCAATGTCTGAAGCTTGTAAAACAATGGCAGGGCAGAGTTCCAAAGGACTGCTGAGGGGCACTGAATTGTTAGCTGAAGATATCTGTGTGTCTGCCCATACCTCTGTGTATGTGTGAGGGAGAGGAGGGGCTGTATGGATGAAAGCCATATGGGCAGGTGTACACGCAGAGATAGGCACAGGTGTACGAACATGTATGGAAGTGCATAGGTGGTCTGAGTCTATGAATACCTCATTAAGCAGGCTCCCAGAGGAAGGCTGTGAGTTCTTCCTAGCAACAAATATCTGAGTCTTGTGGAAAGGAGTAAAAAGGTCATGCAGGTTCCAGGGTTAGGGAACCAATGACTAACACTCTGACTGTTCCCTATTTGAAGACAAGCTGGCAGAATTTTCCCTTGGTTCCCCACTTTTCTGCTTTGAGCTCTTATGTGACCCATTTGTCCCTAGGATACTTTGTCTGAATACACACCACCGGCTGTGAATTCTTATGAATACAGGCTAAAGACCCCGTGCTTCAAAGTCAGTGGGATCAAAGATGACCTGGGGTTCACCAAGCTGGATTAACAAGTCAGCTTAGCCTTGTGCAATCAATCACTCACTGATTATAAAGCCTGTGCTGGAGGATGAGAAGAGTTTGCAAAGATAGCCTGTGTCTGTGTGCTTCATTTACCCTGGAACTATGAGTTGCTACTTAGAGGTAGAGAGCAAGCAGGTACTCACCCTGGATAGAATGTGTTGCCTTGTGCAACATAAGATCTTTCTACCCACCGACAATTTACACCTAATCTGGTACTGGGTTGAATCTATTTGTAGTGCAGTGTTCACAGTGACAACATCCATAGACTGAGAGCGCATGACTTCTGCCTGTACAAAACCAGCCACTGTCTACATGCTAAAGCAACCTCAAATGACCTTCAGAGGACTCCTGGCTCCACCCAGACATGTCTATGTGTTGGCTATGGATTCATGGAAAAGATACCAATCCAACCTCATCTGGCCTGCAGTGGTTAGGACCAGCGATGTTCCAGAGAGCTGCTGGAGATTATTGTCTCATAGTCATTGCTGTTTAACTTCACAGGCTCAGTTAAGACAAAAACCCCACACGGATAGTTTCCTGAAGGGCGTATAGCTATGTTTCCCTTTGGACATTCTAAATCTCTCCATGGACTACCCACACCATCCCTAAAGTGAGTCACCCGGGGGCAGTGCAGAATTGCTTTCTCTGATCGGGTGACAGAACCAGCCTACAGTAAAGGATAGCACATGAAACTGGCCCATGCAGCCTGCCACTGTGTTTACTACAATATCACATGATACAGTGCCCCCTCCAAAGGCCCCATGAGAAAGTGTCTTTCTGATTATGATATTAATAATAGTTTTGGGCTCAGTAAGATGATTCAGCAGGTAAAAATGCTTCTAAGCCTGATGACATGAGTTCAAACCCCATGTAAAGGTGGAAAAAAAGAGGACTCATTGCAAGATTCCTGCAAGTTGCCCTCTGGCCTTTTCACCCAAGCTGTGACACATGCAGATATGCGTGTGCACGCATGCACGCACACATGCTAGATAAGTAAACATAAAGCAAAGGTAGTAACTTAAAAAATAATGGCACTGCTTTTGGTAACTAGTCAATTTGTTTGTTTGTTTTTAATTTTTGAGACAGGGTTTCTTTGGGTAACCACTCTGGCTGTCCTAGAACTCACTCTGTAGACCAGGCTGTCCTTAGACTTAGAGAGAGCCACCTGCCTCTGCCGCCTAAGTGCTGGGATTAAAGTTGTGCACCACCACGCCTGGCTAACTAGTGTATTTTTATGTCAAGGAAACTACTCATGTTCTAACTAATGATGTTTCGCATTTTGCTTTGTATAACAAGCTCAGAACTAAATCTGTTGCCTGCTTCTACTGACATAAAATCCGCTGGCATGCTGGACCTACCCTACAAACATCACAGGCTATGGGGAATGCTAGTGGTTACCCGCCCCCAACACAACCAGAGTGTAAAGAACCATTTACTTATACCATCAAACATGGAAAAATCAAGCTGGTACCCAGTTAGCAGATTCATCCCTACAGACTCTGGCACAGAGACCCACAACTGAACAGTATGCAGACAATGAGAAACCTTGGAACACTCAATCTTAAATTACATATTTTTTTAATTTAAATTTTATTTTATGTGCACTGGTGTGAGGGTGTCAGAGCCCTTGGAACTAGAGTAACAGATAGGTGTGCGCTGCCGTGTGGGTGCTGGGAATAGAACCCGGGTCCTCTGGAAGAGCAGCCCGTGCTCTTAACTGCTGAGCCATCTCTCCAGCCCCTAAATGGGATGTCTTTATCAAACCTCTCTCCTCAGGGCTCAGGGCTCAGGGCTCTATGAAGAAGAGGAGGCAGAAAGAGTGTAAGGCTAGAGGGGGTGGATGATGCTAAGGAAGTAGCATCTTTCAGACACAATCGAGCTGATGCACACCGTATCAGCTCACAGAAATTGTGACAGCACACATTAGACTTGTGCAAATTCAAGGCAGACAAAACATGAGCACAGAGAGGAGGAAGCGGACACAATGTCCCACCCCTAACCAAGGAGTTACATGCTATTTGCTGAGAAACAGAACATCAGTTTTCTCCAGTGGAGCTATCTATCAGCCATACCCCAACGCCAGCCTCATGCTCAGGTGTAGGTGTACAACACAAAACAGATTCCACATTTTTCTGTGTGCTTTTTTTGGGTTGTGACTTAGTATTTTCTGACCTTTAGGTATTTTTTTTTTTCTCTTGAGGGAGAGAAAAACCCCTCACAAAGTTGGGTGGGTAGGGAGGTGAAGAAAACCTAGGTGAGGACTTGGGGGAGAGGAAAGATGCGATTAAAATATATTATATATTATATTTATTTAATTATATTATATTCTATATTATATGAAAACATTTTAAAACAATAATTGAAAAAAATTTGGACATAACGTGACCTTACATTTGTGCTACCATTCCCACTGTATATGACGATATCCTTTTGTCCTTTCTTTTCTTTCCTTTTTTTTCCCTTTGGTCTTACTACTTAGCTAGCTGGCCTCAAACTCAGAGAGATCTGCCTGTCTCTCCCTCCTTAGTGCTAAGACTGAAGGAAGGACCGTGCCACCACACCCAGCTATCTCCTCTCTTAAGCTGTGAGCCAGAATAAATGCTTCCTCTCTTGAGAGAGAGACAGAGAGAGAGGAAGGAAAAAGAAAAGGAAGGAGGAAAGAAAGGAGGAGGGACTCTTACTCCCGGTTGTATCCCTACCTCATTTGCCTCTTCATCAATTTGCTAAATTTTAATTTATTTTGTTTTCCTGTTTGTATAAAGTTTTAGGCCACTTTAACCCCCTTTGAAACAAACTGGAATATACTGATGTAGAAAAATGAGCTGCACGGTGCAGGGATGCTAGTGTGGGTTAGACGCAACACACGGATACCTCAGATTTCTGATCTGACGTTTCTTATTGATACATCAGTGTTTGTTAAAACTGAAGAACACACACACAGGGAAATTCAGAAATTGAAGTCCCAAGAGAACGTGTTCTGAAAGCCACTATCAGCCGGTCAGCTCTACAGCCTCTTCTGGAAGCACCTTACAGAGCACACAATACTTCCTCTGCCATCTACCTGCTGACGTTTCCCTGCTATTCAGGAGCACAACATTGCAAATCACCTACCGTGCTTGTGAATGAATGCCAGTCCCTGCAGTATCTGATACATTATATTCCTTATAGAAGACTCTGGAAACAACTTATTTCTGTATAGATGAGAAGAAAACAAAGTTAAAAACCTGAGTTTCTGTCTTAAGGGGACTCTCTTGTGTTTGTGTTATTCAGATTGTATAGTATAAAATTAAGAAAAATTTACCATATCCTTTGATAATAAATATCAGAAAAACATAATCACTTGTTGATATAGTGGAACTAAGTAATAAATACCAAGATATTCAGTTCTATTACAAAGAAAAGAGTAAACTTTTAATAATAATAATAATAAATAAGAAGCCTTTAACACTGTATCTAAAAATAGGCTAGGCATGGTGGCCATACCTAAAATCTCAGGACTCAGAAGGCTCCTGCAGAACAGTGATTTTTAGCCTTCCGAATTCCATGAGCTTATAATACACTTTCTCATACTGTGGTGACCCTAACCATAAAATTATCTTGTTGCTACTTCATAAATGTAATTTCGATACTCTGGTGAATACTAATGTAAATATTTGATGTGCAGCATATGATATATGATCCCGTGAAAGGGGTCAGAACCCTACAGGTGGAGAACCACTGACACAGAAGGATTTGGAGTTCCAGGCCAGTCTCGACTTTGCAGCAAGTTTGAGGCCATCCTGGGAATGAGACCTTTCCTAAAAAACAAAGCCAAACAAAACAAAAACAAACAAACAAAAAAACAACCCACAAAACAAAAGAAAACAAGCAAGATGCCTCTTGGGAGTTATCCCAGGACTCCCAGGCACAAGCATGTGTCTGGGACCTTCACCCACCTGGCAGATTTCATCATTAAAGTCCAGAGGACCAAAGGACTACAGAAAGAACTAGAAAACTGAAATAAACAAGACAAGAATCACATCTACCTTGCAGTATCCACTTCTAAGAATGCTATGTCTGTGAGACTGGAGAGATGGCTCAGAGGTTAAGAACACATACTGTTCTCGTAGAGAACCCTTGAGAGCGCAGCTCCCAGCACCACATTGGGACGGCTCACTGTAACTCCAGGACTAGAGGGGCCGGCACCTCTGGCCTCTGTGGGCACCCCACGTACACGCATCCCTGCGTGCACAATTTAAAATAATAAAGCAATCTCAAAGATACTTTGTTACAGAATAATGTTATGACCAAACCATACCTTTCTTTAATGAGCTGGTAAAGGTTTTCCTTCATGTACTCGAAGATAAAATAGAGATGGTCGTTTTCCCTGATAACCTCTTTTAACTTTACTATGTTGGCATGATTGAGCTTCTTCAAAGACTGAAACATGGTGAGAAACAAAACAAAATTAGAAACATAAATCTGCCTAAAAGGGAACGTAATCCTAAGCACTTGTAGAAAGGAATATCTAATCTTAGAACTGAGAACATACCATGAATTACATTTTATTGGTAATTTAATAAACAGTATTTCTCTGAAGTCAACATAACTTTATCTGCAAAGATGACTTTAGTCAACTGACTAGAAGGCAAACATTTGACCACTGGCCGAAAATCCCAGCTGCACCCAGCCCGAAGCAATCAGTGACGACTATTTCTGTGGCAATAAGCCCAGGCTATTTTAGGCTCACTCCCTCCAGACCACGGAATTCAGGTTGCGAAAGTGGCCAGAGTGGAACAAAAAAAATAAATAAATAAAAAACAGCGCCATGGTTTTAAGTCTTCTGGCTCTGGAGAGTGCAGCTGGTTAAGGCAGAGGTCACCAGGTAGCAGTCATGGGCAACAGGAAATTGCACAAAGGACTGAGGCTGACAGCCCGAGTCTCCTGACTGTCTTCAGACTTGTTTGCCTGAGACAAATGCTCCTTCTTACAACGTGAGCTTTAATTACCAGGGAGGAAGGAAGACATATTATTGATGAGGTACTGACGGAAAGGTGCAACAAAGGAGAGAAAATCAGGCAGTAGCAGAGGAACATGAACGCAGTTTAGAAGATGATGCACGAGTTTCTGATTACTCGTCTTACACGTGTGGTTTTCTAAGTTCGAGTGTAGCCCTGCTTGTCTGACTTTCCGTACATACCATCTGCCAATGGCAAACAACGCTGTCCTGTCACTGAGCAGCAACTGTATTCGAATGTAGTATTTAGAGACACCCAGTGATCGGGAGTCTTACCTGGATGGTCAGAATTTGAACCCTTTACTTCACAGTCTTTTCCCCATAGAGCAATGAGGTCAATAATGAGAAACTGCGTAAGTTTCCCTATCTTTGGATTTCATTAAAAACAATACCTTCTTTTGCTGGGTAGTGGTGGTACACACCTTTAATCCCAGCATGAGAGGCAGGTGGATCTCTGAGTTCAAGGCCAGCCTGTCTGCAGAGCTGGCCTACAGAGTTCCAGGACGGTCAAGGTGACACAAAGAAACCCTGTCTTGAAAAACCTAAAATCATCAACAACACAAAACAAAACGAACACCCCTAAGAAAACAAAGAAACAAACTGTATGCTGAAGGTAGTGTTAAAGTGAACATTCAAAACCCTGGGGGACCCAAATGATCAGAACTGGAACAATAAGCTTGGAATATAGAAGAAACATGGCCAGTAGAGAAGGACCAAGTCAGACTTTCCCGGCACCTTCTCCCCGAAGGACCAATTCTTGCCCAGCCACTTTGCTGGCATGAATCCTCACCAGTTTTTGGCTAGAATCTTCTAGAATGACCAAGCTAGGTTGATTATTGCTTTTGCTGAGCAAGAAGTTAGCATACTACTAGAGCCATGGGTGAACTTTAGCTCACTGCCTGTTCTCATCGGGCCCATGAGCTAGGAGCAGATTGTACAGGTAAGTATTCACAATCGCTTTCATGACAGAATGTTACTCTTGTTTCTTTTTTTTTTTTTTAACTTTATTTTAGGTGTATGCATGTTGGCCTGATTGTATGTATGTATAGCACATGCTTGCAAGTACCTAAGGAGGCCAGAAGAGGGTACTGGATACCCCAGAACTGGTGGCAGTCGTGGGCCATCCATGTGTGTGTTGGGAAGGGAACCAAACTGGGTCCTCTACAAAAGCATTGAGAACTCAACTTCTAAGCCATTTTTCTAGCCCTGAACACCTGGAACCTTAATTAAGGTTAATGTTACGGTCTCCCAAGAAATCAATGCTACTGGTCTCATTAGAAGACTTATATAAAGGCTGGAGAGATGGCTCAGTGGTTAAGAACACTGGCTGCTCTTCCAAAGGTCTTGAGTTCAGTACCCAGCAACCACATGTTGAGATCTATAGTGAGATCTGATGCTCTCTTCTGGCATGCAGGCACACATGAAGGCAGAACACTGTATAAATAAATAAATAAATAAATAAATAAATAAATAAATAAATAAATAAATAAACAAACAAACAAACTATCTAAAAAAAGACTTATAACAAAATTGTATCCAATTATTATTTTATACTGTATAATTCTGTTTTCTTTAAAAAAAAAAGATTTATTATGCATACAATGTTCTATCTGCAAGAGGGCACCAGATATCATTATAGATGGTTGTGAGCCACCATGTGGTTGCTGGGAATGGAACTGAGGACCTCTGGAAGAGCAGTCATTGCTCTTAACCTCTGAGCCATCTCTCCAGCCCTCTGTTCTCTTTTTTGATTTGTCTTGAGACCGTGTGTCTCTATCTAATCCTGGCTATCCTGGAATGTGTTTTCCTTGAACTCATAGAGATCCACTTGTCTCTGCCTTCCAAGTACTGAGATTAAAAATGTGCACTGCCACACTTGGCCCCTCTTCTTTCGTTTTCTTTTCTTTTTTTTTGAGACAGGGTCTCATTATGTAGGCTTGGCTGGCCTGGAGCTCAATACATAGGCAAGGCTGGTCTTGAACCTAGAGATCCACTTGTCTTAGCTTCCCAAGTACTTGGATGACAGTCATGCTCCACCACACCTGACAGTATTTTTCACTCACTACATATATATACACACATGATATTTTCTGGCTCATAGAGTCTAAAGGAGTTACTGCCTTGCCCTTTAAGAACAAATATGTAGGTCCCTGCTCTAGATGTGAAGCTCTGTTCCACGTACTAAAAATGCTGGTTTCATATCCTACTGGGTTTTCCAGACAGGGCTGGATGAGAGGACTAGAAATGCTCAGGAAAATAATTACAAATGGAAAACCCAAGTGGTCAATTTACCTGGAGAGATGTAAGATGACGATGAGGCAGGATGGAGGAAAAAAAAAAAGGGAACAAAAGCAAAGGGGCTGGGGTGTGGCTCTGCTCTTGAGAAGCTGCCAGGGAGGCATGGGGTCCTGGGTTTGCTCCCCAGCATGGAATGTAGGGGAGAGGGCAGGGCTCAAAACTAGGTGCTTCAATAGGCATGGTAGAGTCTGTCAAACTCAGCAACTGGGAAGCTGCAGAGCTAAAGAGGATTTGTAGTTCAAGGTCAACCTGGGCTACATAGGCAGATTTTATCTGGAAAAAAAAAACAAAAAACAAACAAAAAAAACCCAACAAGAACAACAACAAAAAACCCAAAACCCATAACCATAAACAAAAAACAAGCAAGTGAACAAAAAAAAAAAAAAAGGAAGAAAAGAAGACAAAGAGAAAACCCCAATCAACCAATCAGAAAAAAAAAAAAAAAAAGGGTAAAGGCATACTCTACATAATGCTAACAAAGAATGCCATCACACACAACAGAGTATTGTTGTTATTCAAGGAAACTGCTATCATATCTAGGAGAAATATGCTATAGGAGGTAGCTCCTCCTTGGCCTCAGTAATTAGGAATGACACCTGTGGATGCAAAGCTCCACCAATTATCACTTATCAAATAAGCAGGTTGAAGAAATCTATGAATGACAAAAGCATTCTAGTAACAATACACTCAGGAAGTAACATCATAATCCTTCACTTTCAGATACCAATTGTAAAATATCATTTTTCTACTTTCACAGTATTAGTGAAAAAATACAAACGAATGACTACGCCAGCTATAAATCTAGCCATACATACAGCCGCTCTAATCAGCCAAACAGAACCGTTGCCTGATAAAGTACTAAATACCTTAACCTCTCGAAGGTTCATGCATTCTTCCCAGGAGTAAAACTTTCTTTTCATTCTGAAAGAGAAGAACAAGGAATGGCATGCTTATTCCAAGTGCTAGGGTGAACATCATTTCTTTCTTTGTTTTTTTCAAGACAGGGTTTCTCTGTGTAGCCTTGGCTGTCCTGGACTCGCTTTGTAGACCAGGCTGGCCTCAAACTCACAGAGATCCACCTGCCTCTGCCTTTCCTTAGTGCTGAAATCACAGGTGCTGCACCACCGCACCTGGCTCTGAACATCATTTCTTAAATTTTTTTATTCAGAGTTGGAGAGATGGCTGAGTGTTAAGAGTGTCGCATGTTCTTGCAGAGAACCCTCATTTAATCCCAGAGCCTACACCAGGCAGCTCAAATTGCCTACAACTCTAGCTCCAGGGGATTCAATGTCCTTTATCGGCCTCTGTGAGCGTGAGGGCTTGCACTCGTGTTTGTGTACACACGCACATAGAGTTAAGTATTATTATTATTTTTTCATTCTGAACCTAACCAATGTTGGTTTCAAGTTTTACAAAACATTATACTGTGTGAAAGAAGCCCCCCTTCTCATCTTTTTTTTTTTTGGGGGGGGGGAGGAGGTTGAGACAGGCTTTCTTCGTTGTAGTGCATGCCTGTAATCCCAGCACTCAGGAGGAAAAAAACATTTTAAAACCTGGCAAGTCTAAGTCACTAAGCTTCCCAGCAGCGGTAGGAACCCGATATACTGCTTGGTTTCTGTCACCTTGATAAAAATCTAGACATATCTGGGAAGAAGGAATCTCAGTTGAGAAAATGCTCCCATTAGCCTGGCTTTCGGTAGGTCTGTGGGGCACTGTCTTGATTAGTGATTGAGACTGGCCGGCCCAGCTCACCGGAGGGCATGCCATGCCCGAGCACCTGGGCCTGGGTTGTATAAAAAGCAGGCTGAGCTGAGCAAGCCACAAGAAGCAAGCTAGTAAGCAGCCTTTCCCTAGGACCTCTGCTTCAGCTCTGGTCTCCAGGTTCCAGCCCTGGCTTCTCTCAGCGATGGGGGTGACCTGAATGTTCTAAGGAGAAATAACCCTTTCCTCCGGTTGGGAGCCGCTGGTCTTCCAGCCTGCTTTGATATTTAGATCTCAGCAGAAAGACTGGCCTTCATTTGGAGTCAGGGAAGAATTTCCAAGTCTGTTTCACCTTTTGTTTGAGACAGTAGGTGGGGCGTCCTTGTCTAGGATACAAATTTTGCTTGACTTCCTTGTAAATTTACTCATTTATCCTGAGGGGCTTTTGTTCTGGCTAAAAAGGAGTCTGGAATAAAGCAAGGTGTCTAGCTTCCACTAGAGCCTCTTGGAAAGGTCCCATATGTTGTGTGTTGGTTTATTAATTTCAATCCTCACTCCTGACTCAAAAACCGTTCGACTCTGCCAGTGGGCTCCAGCACCTCACAGCAACAGAAACCTTATCACAGCAACAGAAACCCCTAAACAGGCCACCTGATGTAGGGCAGAGAGCCAGGATTGCTGTCTGGCTCGACCACTAATGAGCTCCCTTGGCCTGAAGGAAACTTGCTCGGGTTTACTCTGTCTAGGCCAGTGCTGGCCAGTAGAACTTTTGGTGGTGGTGGAACTCTTCTGTGATGGTATGGCAGTCACATATATGTTGCTGTAGGATAAGGTAGAGAGTACTAGTTAAACTCGGGGGGTTGTAATAAGAAAAGGAAAAGGAGGAGGAAGAGGAAGAAGGGGAGATGATGAAGGTGGGAGGGACATATGCAAGGAAGGCCCATAGAGTTAGGGGTGGATTCAAGTTACATTGAACATATATATGAAATTTTTAAAAAATTAGTTTAAAATATATTTTGAAAGAAGTATGGGGCTACTGAGCGCTCAGAACATGGCTGGTACACCACAGGGACTGGGTCTTAATTCCACTGCACATGCCAGATACAGCATCTCAGTACCTGTGGTTGAAGGAGATAGCCACGCTCAATGGTCTAGCACACTGGAATACTTGGTCTCAAGTAGGTGTGGCTGGTTAGGGAGGCTTACAAAGTGTGGCCTTGTTAGAAAAAGTATGTCACTGAGGGTAGGCTTTGAGGTTTCAAAAGTCTCACCCTATTTGGAGTGAGTGAACTCAGCTGCTAGTCTATTCCTCTGCAACCTGCTACCTCAGCCTCACCACCATGGAAGTGAAGAATTAGTCCACTGTAGCTAGGAATTTGTGGTAGGGCCTATCATGAGAAGATCTGGCTAGAAATATATCTGGCTAGAAAGTTCAAGACACTGGAAAGCTAAAGGCTGGAAGAGGCAAGGAGGCTGTGCTAAGAGATAAAGCTGGAGAAACAGGCCAAAGGTGTGGCAACTTGTAGGCCTTGGAATTGATGCTTGATGCTAGGAGGATGATACTGAAAGAGAGCTATGTCATATTGGACTCTGTGAAGGTTGGGTGCAGGAAGTTCATTGAGAAGGTAATTCTAAAAGCCAGGGCAAAGGGCAGCAAAACCAGGGGAAAGCGGAAAGGTCTAATAAGATACGTGACTGAGGTGATGCCAAGACCAGAGATTAGGTTTCAGCTCTGTTGTGGGCACTGAAGTCAGATGAGACAAAGGGCTTGTCTCAGGGTTTTTACTGTTGTGATGAAACACCATGACCAAAAGCAAGTTGGGGAGGAAGAGGTGTGTTTGATTTATGTTTCCATATCCATAGTCATTCAATGAAGGAAGTCAGGACAGGAACTCAAATAGGGTGGAGACCAGGAGGCAGAAGCTGATTTAGAGGCCATGGAGGAGTGTTGCTTAATGGATTGCTCCCCATGGTTTGGTTAGCCTGCTTTCTTACAGAACCCACCAGCCCAGGGATGGCACCATCCACGATTAATTAAGAAAATCCTTACAGGCCAACAATCTGATCTTATGGAGTTATTTTCTTAATTGAGGTTCCTTCTTCTCAGATGACTTTAGCTTGTGTCAAGTTGACATAAAGACTATTCAGCACAGGGCTACAAAGAGGCAGGAGGACACAAAGAATGCTTGATACTAGTGGTTTTAATTAACTGTCTTTTCAGTTTGCTATGAGCAACGAAATGACTGGAAGCCAAGAGCCTTATCTGGTGGTCAGATGGCAAATGGTAATAGGTTGGAAGTGAGGTTCTAGAGGTAATTGAGTAGGTAGACCAGACAGATATTTAGTACAATTGTCAGGACTAAATGACCAAAGGTGAGGCATAAGTGGGAGCAACATCAAGAGGTTTTAAGTTGGCTGGAGATAGGAAAAATGCAGTCAGAAAAAGTGCTACACACCTGTAACCCAGGGGGCAAGGCAGAGGACTGTGGGTTCAAAGCCAGCCTAGACTACACAGCAAGACTGTCTCATACAAACAAACCAAAACAAAGATAAGAAGGATAACCAAGTCTGGAATAAAAGTGGAACAGTATGCTGGATGATTTTTAAATGGTTACAGGACTTAGTGGAAATGGGAAGAAGGCAGATGGGCATAGGCAGCCCAATAGGCAGACCTAGCATAGTCCCCAAAGACCCTTATCTTCTGCTGTTTATAATCATGCGTACCCTTTGTCCTTCAGTAACCTGCTTCTAGCCAGTAATGGCACATCATTCTGAGAGGAAGTCACTTCTGTACTTGATTTATAAGAGTGAAAAAGATATGTACAAAGAGCAAACAGATGGAAGAGAGACTTCTATCCAAGAAGCCTCTTTCTTAAAAAAATAATATATATGTATACATACATAAATACATACATACACACACATATAAATATATAATGCCAGGTGGTGGCGGCGCACGCCTTTAATCCTAGCACTCAGGAGGCAGGAATATCTAAATTCGAGGGCAGCCTGGTCTACGCACTGAGTTCCAGGACAGTCAGGGTTACACAGAGAAACCCTGTCTATGTTTACCATGTGTGTACATAGGGTGTTAGAGCCCCTGGAACTGAGTTACAGGTTGTTGTGAGCTGGGACTGAACTCTCATCCTCTCTAAGAGCAGTAAGCATTCTTAAGCTCTGAGCCTCCTCTCAGCTCCTTACTGCTTTCTTACTGCCTACATCTCAATGAAGCAAGTCACCGTATTGTGAACTACTCTTTGGATCAGTCCACACGGTAAAGCACTGAGAGGCAACCTCTGGCCGACAATCAGCAATGAACTGAGACCCTCAGTCCAACAATAAATGAAGTTCTAAATGCCACCAAAAGTCACATGAGTGATCTTGGAAGCAGATCCTTTCGCCTTCCACCTTTCAAAAATACTAGTTTTGAGGAACCCTTTGACTGCAGCCTCAGAAGAGAACCTGGACCAGATAACTCGGCTAATTTGTGCTGTCCCACAGAAACTGAGATATAATTGTAGGCATAAGTAATTTAAATGCTGATTTCTATACCAATTCCCCCCCCCCCATATCTGGCTGCAATCCTTGTTCTGAGAATCTCCTGTCTTAATGATGTATACACACTGCTTCCCAATTGTTCCCTGATAAGCCAGTAAAGCAGCTCACAGCTAATTGCTGAGCAAGGGAGAAAATAGGGTTGGACTTCTTGCCAGATAGGAAGTGAGGAGTTGGAGGAAGAAGTAGGGGATAGAGCCATGAGAGAAGTCGAAGTGAGATCAGAAAAGGAGCTGGAGCAGAAAAGATAGAAAGTGCAAGTATGTCTGGGATATACACTGGGAGGAAGCCACATTAGCTTAAAGGGTTAAGAATAGACTAATAACTGCTCAGTTCTTGTGCTGTGAAGCTTGTGAAAATAATATAATAGAGTTTCAATTGTTTATGTGAAAGCAGGGTTAAGAGAGAAACTGAGAAACAAACAGTTTTATAAAAATAACCTGAACACATAATATAGTATGTTGTTCTAACGCACAAGTCTGGAGTAAACTGCTGTGCAGCAATAGGTAACTGATTCAACAGGTCTGACCTGTGGCTGCAAGGATGAGAAGACCCCATACAGCAGACACCAGATACATTTCCTGTCCTGAAAAGTGAAGTTCACTGCTTCACCACTCTCTCATCAGAAGTCGTATGGTTTCTCTATAATTTTAGAATCATCATCTAATATTCTTCATGCCTCCTATCTACTCCCCTTTAGAAATGTTTCCAAGACAGGGAATGGACAGGACAGAGTTCAAATCATCTTGACAGGCAGAACTCAGTGTGAGTTTGCAAGGGTGAAGTATAAACTTACTTTTTAATGGCAATCAGTTCTCCAGACTCAATGCTTCTTCCCAGCAGGACAGAACCATAGGTCCCATCCCCAAGCTGCTTGATCGTTGTATATCTATTCATGGTGCGCCTGCGCTGTCGGGACACTCATCTCAGGGCCGAGGTGGTTCAGTCCTGCAACTGTAGCAGGCCTTCCCAGACTGTAACCAGATTTTTCGATGGCAGCACCAGCACAAGGTATTCAACAGAACGTGATTATCTCCCAAATACATATTTTCAAAGATCAGTCTTCTGCCTGTGGAAAAGCATGGATGATTAGGGCAATTGCTAATGAACACTTTGATTCTATATATTTTTGTAGTCTAAAACAATGGTCACTGAACTGTAGCCACTAGACTGCCATTTATTCATTCAAATAAAGTTTAATTGGGACAAAGCATATTTACAATTGTTGGTTATCTCTACCCACAATAGCAGAACTGAGTATTTCTGACACTGTATAGCCTAGAGTGTTTACACTCTGGAGTCACAGAATAAGCTGTCAACTCTGGGCCTACATATGCTCTTTGAAATACAAGTAAGAGTCTTTATAAAAGTAGACAGCATGCTTGGACGGTGATGAAATGAATTAGCTCCAATTCGGTGCTTCTTTGGGAAAACTGCATCACTGTGGTGGATGAGGGCTGCTGAACTATGAGCACACATGCTAAATGTGTTCTCTGTGTATCAGCTACAACCAGCAATGTAAAAATACAAAAGCCAGAGGAAGCCAATATCACACTGCAGAAAACTGACACGTGTCTCATCAACTATTTGTAGCTAAGCATCAAGAACTTTATTTTTTAGATGCTCAGAAGCTAAAGAAAAGAATGAATCGTTCAAGGCCTATGTAAGATACGTAGCAACTTCAGTACTACCCAATGTTGCAGTTTTAAAAAAAAATAATGCCATTGATTTTTTAAATATGTATAATTGAGTCATTCAACCTGCCTATAATAAAGAAGCTTTGTAACCGAGGTGACTGCAAGCATTCATAACATAAATTCTTAATGGAACCAATAAAGGCATACTAATGCTGCTAAACTAGTAATCCGAAGATTCAAATGACAGAAAAAGATTGAAGGATGTGACTTTCTGCACAGGAGTCCTGAATATGTGGCTTCTCCTTCAAAAGATTTCCAATCAATAAAGGTATACTGACAGAGGAAAAGAAAAAAATGTAAGCAAATACCACAGGAAGACTTGCAGTAGGCAAGACTCACTGATACATGAAAAAAGTAATGGATGGCTGAAACAGGACATCTGTATAATCCCAAAATATACTGGTTAACTTGTAGGGAAGAAAAGCTGTACAGAAAGAAATCCAGAAAACAAACAACTCCCCCAAACCAATCCAACCCCCAAACAGCTCCTTAGATGCTAACACAGGCACACTCCAGAGTGAGAACCAGGTGGATCTCTTCAGCCAGGGTTGCACAATGAAACCATGTCTCGAAACAAAACAAAACAAGACAATCCCCCCAAACATCCGTGTGTAGATAAAGAGTTCAACACCCTCACTAACAAGATGCAATTTGCAAATTCTAGCTGCACTGCAATGAGAAAGGCACGACACCAGTCAGTGTGCCTTAAAATGCAGAGCCGCGGCGAGCCTAATCACGGAAAGCAGACAGAGACTCCAAATGAGGGATATAGTATATCCTACGAGCAACTGGCCAGGACTAGTCAAAAGTGTCAGGATTATAAAAGACAAGAGCAGATGGAGAAGCTGTCAGGTTAGTGGTGACTAAATTCAACATGGGATCCAATATAGGATCTGCAGAAAAGGATTGCAGCGTAGACTCATTGGTAAAGTTAAACTACAGTGCGCAGTCTGGGCAGTAACACGGTTGCACCAACAGTGATTCTCAGGTCTTGATCACGGCTCTGTGGTTAGCTAGGACAGAGATGCTGGGTTCAGTTTCTAGTTCTTGACTATTGCTTGTAAAATTTCAGTGTCTAACATAAACTCCAAACTAAGAAACAACAACAACAACCACAAAAACAGACCTAGACTATGTCCTTGTAAAAGTTGTGCATGACTTGAGAACCCTTCCCTACTCTTTATCATACAACTGAAAGAGCGTGTTGGGGGCCAACCTCAGCCCACTCACGCTCAGCTCATTCCTTCCCTCTGAAGGGACATTTTATTTCTTCTTGCCCTTCAGGATCAGATTCCCCACAGCTTCTTTGTGCTATTCTTTACAGTGATGTATTGTACTGTGGACTGATAAATACTCATAAGGCACATAAATATTAATAAATATTTGTAAACACAGGCCCTTCTCTCAAATGGCTTAGCCATGGTAAGGAACAAGAGTGGTGGTATTTCAAGTAGGCACAGGGTACCAGGTCTTTGGAAAGAATGAGAAGCAGGGTTAGATGGCTTGGCTTCCAGTTGGGTCAGTTCCACTTGGGCTCATGAGGCAATAAGAAGTCTTCAAAGGTACTGAGTCATTAAGGAAAGCTAGGGGTGTTATATGGCAAACAGGAATGCTAGCAACATGAGGAGCAGCAATGCAAGCATAAGGGTTTAAATCTGGGTCTGAGGAGGGGAAATAGGTATCCTAAAAGCTTAATTGCAGAGCTTTGCTCCGGAAGACCTCAGACACCTTTGTGCATATGTGTGTGCTTGTGTGTGTGTGCATAGGCACACGGACCTGTGCATGCACATGGTAAGACCAGAGGTCAGCTTTGGCTATCTTCCTTTATCTCTCTCCACCTTACTTCCTTGAGTCAGGGCATCTCATTAAGCTTGGTGCTCAGTGTTTTGGCTAGATCGGTTAAACAGTGAGCCCCAGGATCCATTTGTCTAGGCACCTCTCCCTTCCCTAGCACTGGGATGGCAGCTGTCCCCCAGGCTTTTAACATGGGTGTTAAGGATCCAAACTCAAGTCTCCATGCTTGCACTGCAAACACTTTACCACACTGAGCCAGCTCTCCTCAGCTGCCGGAGCCTGCGTTTCTAAATCTAGGCTTTGACTGGATTCTCTTCTGAAAAAGAAAATGCTATATTAAAAGACATTCTCCAGTCAAGGGAAGCAACCAGATACATGGAAGCAAATTTGATAAATATTATTTCTATTTTAAATTTATTGAAGTTGATGCTTATGAGTACTTGTGTTTTTGCTGGAAAATATACCCAGAAAGTTCTAAAGGACAATGATGATGTGATTACAGCTTCGCATGGGGTTATGTCCTGATAGAGCCACTGTCCATTGAAAGTATGCGCTTGATATTCCTAACCTACCAAATGCCACCTCTGAGCCTTTCTCATGCTCAAAACACAGCTGGGCTACTTTAGCAAGTATGACATATCTTCCGTACACACAGGGTGCCAGTTTGTTGTTGTTGTTGTTGGTGGTGGTTTTTTTGAGCTGTGATGGGCTGTAGACTCAAAGCACAACATAATGCCAGCAAAGCCCTCTAGAGGTCAGCTGTTTGCCTTCTGTTGGCATGGTAGGCCGGGTGCTGTCACTACTCAAAAATCAAGAGAGTATGGTACCACATAACGCAAGTCTGGGAAAAGATCAAAACTGAGAATTCAAAGTAGTTTCTATGGAATGCATGGCACTTTGGGCACCAACTTAAAGCTGAAACAGTGTAATCGAACCACTGTAAAGTTGAGCACATCAGTATTCTGTGTGTATGCGCGCATATATGCAGGTCTGAGGCAAACAGGACAAAATGTCAATAGAGAAAATCAGAACAAGGGGAGAGCTATGCTCTGAATTGTGTCTCCACCCCACTCCTATTCCTACGTAATGTGACTGTATTTGGAAATAAAACCTGGAAAGAGGTGACAGGATTAAGAATGAGGTCCTAAGGGTGGAGCACCGACCTGACAGGGTTAGTGTCCTTTGACCCAGCCCTCCCATGTGAAGGTCATCTGCAAGCTTTCTTCATCTCCGGGGCTGTGAGAAATTAAAGTCCACCCCTGAAGGCGGCCAGCCTTCCACTGCTGGCTGTGGTAGTCTGAGCAAGCCAGGTAGGGACGGGAGCTTCCACGTGTTCATCCTGAAGCCTTTCCGTAAATCTGACATTACTACAGCTTCAAAGTTTAAATGCTTCTCCCGAAAACAGTAGAAAGAGGGGAGCTTTAAAATAGGCACATACCTCACACTGGACAGTTTGCCTTCATTTAAAACACACAAATGCCGATTTGCTTACTGTGACCTTCCCAAAACTTCCTCATTCAACAGGGCTGAATTCCATGTGTGACCATCATATCGTGGACTGTTTGCATCAAGGACCTGCTTCAACCTGACATACAGAGCATCTAGCCACAGGCCAGGAAACGGCAACAATGTGCATCTGACCCTTCCTTCACCACAATCACCCTCATCTGCTTTGTAGTGTGCACACTTTCTACGGCATCCATAACTTCCTTTGTAGTTTATCTTCCAACTCACTGGCACTCTGACTCGTCAAGAATCATCTAACTAATGAAGTACTGCATCCTTCATTTTTAAATTGTTGTTATTCCTGTATGTCTTTGTGCATCTGCGCACATAAAGGGCACGATGTGGAGGGAGGGAGCACATGTGCCATGGCGTGAGTTTGGAGGTTGGAGGACAATCTTGAGAAACCAGCACTTTCCTTCCATGTTTACCTGCATCCTGGGGATCAAAGTCAGGTCACCAGGCTTGTGCTGCAAGTCCAGTAGCTGCTGAGCCATCCCACCAGCTCCATAAATATACATTTATTCATTCATTTATTTTCATTTGTTTGTTCTGGTTACATCTGCTCTGCTCTTTAGATAATGGTAAGTTGTTTTTAAAACTAGGAGTCTGCTATGACCAGGCTGCTTTTTTTTTTCCCTGGTTCATTAGATATTTTTCTTCCTGTCTAACCCTCCTTGCATACTGCTATTTAAACTAATCTCTACACGTTTCGTGTTCTGAAGAAGCCATGTCAGGAAAGTGTATGTGCATACAGTAATCAAGTGTGGTTCAGCTTTCTGCAGCCTTAACTGCACAGCTTTCCTCAGAGGACCCATTTTCCATTCCTTAATTATCTCTGGCACTCACCTCTGAATCCTCTCACGCTCTTCCACCTCCTTGATGTACTGTGTTGACTAAAGCTTAATAACAATTCTATTACAGTGGTGTGTGGGCGCCCGGTTTTCCCTTTTGCAGTGGCCTTATACTAGCAATTATTAACAAAAGCCTTTGCTTTACAGCTAATGCACCACTATTTCCTTCCCCACTTAAATTGGATAATTGTAACAATGCTTTCCTGGAATATTAAGAAAAC